CGTATATGTTTCCCATATTCGCCTGTAGGGTTTTCACCGCGTCCAAGACGGCCCGAAAGGCCCTCAAGATCGTCCCAAGGCTGCCCAAGAGGCCCCCAAGAGGGTTCCGAGACGGCCCAATAGGGCCCCAAGACGGCCGAAGAGGCGCCCCAAGAAGGGGCCCAGAGGGGGTCTCCGAACGGACATTTGAAGCTTTCCGTCCCTAGATGTCCCCAGGATTCCCCAAGAGGTTCCCAAAAGGTTCTCCAGTAGGCCCAAGAGGTCCCCTAGAGACCCCGAAGAGGTCCTAACAGGCCCCCAAAAAGGCTACAGGAAGCACCACAAGGCCCCCAAGAGCCCCCCCCAGACGCCCAGAGGCATTCCTGACGATGCTCGACGTCGCCGCCGACGCCGCCGCCGGCAGCCGTTTCAGCTGAGGCGCCGCCGCCGCCAAGGCTGGGGCTGGGGCGTGCTAGAACCTAGGCGCGCGCGAAGCGCGCGCACGTGGTTCTAGTATGTAGGTGTGTACACACACACATATATATATACATACATACATACATAACTATATGTATGTGTGTATGCATGCATGCATGCATGCATGCATGCATGCATGCATATACACACATACATACATACATACATACATACATACATACATACATACATACATACATACATACATACATACATACATACATACATACATACATACATACATACATACACATACATACATACATACATACACACATACATACATACATACATACATACATACATACATACATACATACATACATACATACATACATACATACATACATGCATACATACATACATACATACATACACATACATACACATACATACATACATATACATACCTACATACATGTGTATATGTACACACATGCATACATACATACATACATACATGCATGCATGCATGCATGCATGCATCCATGCATACATACATGTGTATATATAAATATGTATATAGGTGAAAATGGGGAGTGGGTCACGTGAGACAGGGTCAGACAGAGCCAGACTCAATTCCACCACGATAGTCGCAATCGCATAGGGGCGTGTCGCCCTCCACGTGGCCAGCCCAGTGCCACGGTGAGGAGGGAAGCAGGTAAGAGACATGCGGAAGGGCAGCGGCTGGCCCCACCTCGTGCGAGCAGGAGGACCCCCGCTGTTGGGGGCCATGGCTGGTCCTGCCGCGCGCACGGCAGCCAGCACATCAGAACGGCACGAGCGGATCGGGGCATCAGGGCCTGAAGGCAAACGGGTATCCGGGTGATCGCCAGCGCATACGGTCGGGAACGTTTGCCAAGCAGTGCTTGCACCTGCCGTCTGGAGCCGCATGCGGCGGCAGCGTTGCCGCCAGGCTGGTCCTGGTGCGGCTTGCAGAGGGCGAGGACCGAAGACTGCGCCCGGCGGCGCAGAGGCAACCTTGCATGTCGGCCATTGGGCGTCGCGTAATGCGGGGGGCAGCGAGACTGCAGAAAAGGGGCTTTCCAGGGCCCTGAAGCTTTGGGCCTGGAGGAGGGCCCGAAAAGTGCACCTGTCTTCCCTCCCCACGTATCGCCCCTCATGAAGCGACGCACAACTCATGCAATCCACGATGCTGTACCTTGTGCTTGGAGCTGCGGGTCCAGCCACACAGCTGTGCCGTACGCTGTCCCCTTGTGCTTGGAGTTGCGGTTTGGACGTTGGTGTGTCTGGAGTTGTGGCCATGCTTCAGCATTGCGCGGAGTACGATTGCGAAGTTCACCCGCGCGCGTCGCTGGATCTCAAACGCGTGCTCTGGGCGGCCCAAGCAGAGTACCCATACGCGTCCGGCGGCGCCAGACAGGGCGTCTTGGAAGGGCTGCATACCCGCAGACATCACCGCGAGTCTGAGTAGTTCACCGGTCTGCGCGACGTACCTCGAGTTGGCCGACTTGGGATTGCGGCGGTTCTACACTTCTGTGTGGGGACCTTGTCGTCTAGGGGCCCCAGTGAACTGCCTGCGACATAAGTTGTCGTAGGTCCGTGCAGATCTTTCGGATCTGCGTTGAGCCCCCCTGGCGGCGCCTCCGGCGCCGCTGGTCACGCGCGGCGAGTGGCCAGAATTTCAAGCGGCCAAGGATTTGAGAATGGCACGACGCCTAGAGAAGGACGGGGAAGAGGGGAAGGATTTCGGTCTCGGCAGGGGTTCGGCACCTAGGGGGCAGCAGTGGAGCCCGTCTGGCGCCTAGAGGCGGTTTGGAAGCACCTCCGACACCGTGCCTGACGCGAGCTGTCGCGGCCAGACTCCTGGGGTGGGGGCAGCGTTTGGGCGAGAGCTGTTGCTAATCTTCGCTTTTGCACAGCCCTCCCACGTGCGGTTCTGGTTTGGAGCAGAGCCCTGTAGTCTACAAAACCTCCTCCTTCCCGCCTCCCTCCTCCTGCCCAAGACCTGCGTCCTGCCCAGTCTCCTACCTCGTCTCACCTGGGGGCTCGCACCTCTGCGTTGAATGTTTTTTTGTCCCAACCCTCTTGCATTGGTCTCTCGCGTTGAACAGACCACTGCGGTCGCACACCTTCCTCCCGCCTCCCGCCTCCTCTCCTCCCTCCTCTTCTCTCCAGCCTCTTACCTGGCTCCGTCCTGCCTACCAGCCTGCCTCCTACCTCGCCGTCACGCGCGAACTGGCCGTCGCCGGGGAGCTGCGAACTGCGAAATTGTCGACGCTGTCGAGGGCTGCGGAGGGGTCCTGCAAAGTAAGTTCCTAGGCGGACTCGGATTAGACCTCCCCAGCCTTCCAGAGAAAGACCAGGGAGGATGACGTCATCGGACCGCATGTGTACGAGTCGGCGGATGGCAGTGTGAATGATGTTATCTCAAACCGGCACCTCTTGGTCGAATATTGCATCGCGTCCGACCTCGTGCTTGCCAACACTTGTTCCGACAGCCCTAATGTAAAGAAAGCTTCGTACCGTAAACTTGGTTTGCAGCCCATGGCGACCTTCCAGGGCGCAGTTTTCGCGCAATTTGATCACTTCTTCTGCCACCAAAGCTACCTTCCTATTCTTCATTCATGGACGTGCCAGGAGGAGCCAACCAACAGCCATCATTTCCTCATGATTGTTGAGACGTCGTTCCAATTCAGTGGGCGGACAGCGTAAGAAGAAGGCATTGGACAAGAGTGCATTGAAGCAAACAGTTGCCAGACGTGAGTTTTCCGGGGCTTTCGAAAGCGCGGTTGCCACAAACTATGCAAAGTGCAGTCTGGACGAATCAGCCGGTTGATATTGAACAGGCTTTCCAGGTAGCCGCATCGACATTACCCAAAACAGATCTTCTCCCCAGACGTCCTTGGACAAGTCCTCATACACTTGACATCATCGGAAAGCGGAAAGTATGCCGCCACGCAGGAGACGACCACAGCGAGAAGGGGTTTGACAAGTTGATTCGACAGTCCGGCAATCAAGACCGCAAAGCAGTGTTGGAAGATTCCGTGAGTAACGGCGGAAGGAATGCCGTGAAAGATGTCCGAGAACCCAAAGGCAGCCAAGCACGCAGACATCAAAGACATAGCGGAGAGAGCAAACGCCATGGCGGATTATTTCGAGCACGTGCAGAGGACAAATATATCCAGACCTCCTGCCAGACCGTGATACGATGTTCGGGAAATGATTGCCCATCAGCACAGACGCTTTCAACATGGACGAGTTTGTCGTCCATGTTGAACTCGATGTGCCTGGAGGGGCGGCGTCTGCTGCTGCGCTGGCGCCTCGGGCGCGCCAGCAGCTCACCGCGGAGGCTCCATTTGAGGCTCTACACCGCGCATGGCCGACGGGCGTCTCTGCCCATCAACAGGCAGATGCTCGTCTGTTGGCTCGCCATGCTCCTCGAAGACAGCCTCGGGACGCTCCAGAATAATTTCTTGAAGTGCAAGGTTGAGTCGTTCCACCCACTATGAGAAAGGTCGTTTCTGTCTGAGGTTCTCCAACTCGTGTTCCATTGTGTATATTCGTGCCACTAGATGGTCGATACGAGCCTTGGAGCGAGAAAGAGCAGAAGCTCGTCTGGCGTGCTGCTCTCGCCATGAACCAGCAAGGTGCATCGCCGTGAGAATCACACTGAACCAATCCTTTTCGTCCTCTCAGCTCTCGTTGTTCTCGCCCTTCATTCGGATCGAGACCGCCAAGGTATTGAGTTCCTGCCTTATCTGGGCGATGAGTTGCTTCCTTTCTGCCTCAGACGAGTTCTCTTGAAGATCGCCTGGATACTGAAAGTGCAACCGTGCAACGCAAGGCGGAGCTGGCAAGATGCCGAGAGGCTGCTGTGCATCCTCGCCCGCCTCGTCCCCTACAAACGAGGCTACGGCGCTGGCGGCGCGCTTGGGGCCCCTCGGGCGTCGGGGCTGGCCCTCGGCCTGCTCGCCCGACGGCGCCGACTGCGGCACCCGCGGGTCCCTCACGAACCCCTCCGCGGCGTTTTTCTCCGCGTCCTTGCCACCACGACGCGGTGGAGTGCGAGGGCGGCCTCCAAGATGTTCTTGAACAACAGCAGAGCACAGACGACAGGAATACCTTTCGAAAACAACTGGTGTGCCACATTCTGAACATGCCCACGTATTCATCAACTGGCCGAAACGACGAGCATTGAGCCGATGCCTTGTTTCAACAAGAATGGAAGATGATAGAACGTCGGAGATTGCGAGACAAAGCAGCAGCCTATCGTCGGCACGTCGGTAACGCTCTCGACGATGCGGTGAATGCTCCCGAGAGTTTCGCGAGTGTGCCTCCGCCGTGTCACGTGGGGACGCGGCTGGCCGCCGAGCAAGGCTGGCGCGGTAGGTTCTGAAACGGAATGAAAGAAGTTGCGAAAGGATTTTCGCCCTGAAACAGAACGCAAGAAGTTGCGAAAGATTTTCGCCCGCCTCCTCCACCTATAGGGCAAGACCCTGACGGGAATTGAAGTGGACTCGTGCCAGAACCTTTGGAAGAGGAGAAGGAAGAGGAGGAGGAGGAGGAGGAGGCCCCACCAGGGATGGTCCGGGAGCCCGTGGCCGTGTCCCAGCAGCCCACCGAGCCTGTGCAGTTACAGAGGTCCGAGGAGCTCACTTTAGGCGCTCCCAAGGCTCGCCGGGGTCGTCTTCACAGTTGTCGTTGCAGTCGTTGTCGCTGCTGTTACCGTCCTCCCTTATCCTCCCCTCGATTCTCTCCTCTCCTCGAGTCCCTGCTCCTCCTCATACTTCTCCTCCGCCTCCCCCTCTTCCTCATCTTTCTCCTCCTTCTCCTTCTCTCCCTGCCTCCTCCTCCTCCTCCTCCTCCTCTTTCTCCTCCTCCTCCTATATTCCGTGTTGCACCCCAAAAGGTGTCGGTAGGGTGGGCCGGTTGGTTCGTTTGAGATTCTTTCACCGCGTGCGATCCCAATATTTGACATGTAAAACAGTTTCAAGAATCGAAAGTGGGTTGTGCTTAACATGTGTGTCTTGCGTTAGCGCCGCGTACATTCGTTCAACAGTTCGCGACAGTTTCAGGGATGGAGGGGGTAAAAATAGGGTGCAAAGTCTGCAACAGCTTCAAGGATGGAGGAGAGTGGTTTTCAGAATGGAGCTCTCGCTGCAGCGCTGTTCACAATGTTGCAACAGCTTCATGGACGAAGGCTTGTTTCTGTTCGAAATGTTGTTGTCGACGTAGTGCAGCGCACACTCGTTTCATATCGTTGCACAGCTGGAAAGTTGGAGTGGGGAGGGTTCAAAATGAAGCTCTCGCAGTAGCGCCGCGCACATTCGGCTTGAAAGTTCGCAACATCTTCAGGGATGGAGGAGTGTGGTTACTTCATTGAAGCTCTCGCTTTAGCGCCGCGCAAAAGTTTGCAACAGCTACATGGATGGAGGGGGGCGGGTTTCAACATTGGGCTCTGGCCATGGCGCCACGCACATTCTTCGTGCAAGTTTGCAACAGCTAGAATAATGGAGGACTGTTGTTTTCATCGTGGGGCTCCCACTTCAGACTTCCTCAGTTTTCAAGACCTGGAAGTTCAACACGCGTAGCACTGCACGCATCGAGGGCGGTTCGTTGTAGAAATGTGGCTCTCGCTTGAGATGTCTTCGAAGTTCGTGATCTCGCCACTCCGTCTTCACCCTCCGTCGCTACATCCCCTTATCATTTCACCGTTTCTCGAAACATTGCACTCGCTTTTGCGCCGCGCACGTCCGTTCAAAAAGTGCCCCAAAGTTTTTCTCGCCTCAGCGCTGCGCACATCTGCTTCCAACAGCTAATAGAATGGAGCGCGGCCCGTTTGCATCAAAAGTGGGCTATCGTTTTGACAAGTATGTTCAGTCTGCTTCCCTCGGTCTGCCTGTGGCTCTGCACGGGAGGGGGCTCCAAGCCCTCGAAGATTTCTCTTGGGCTCCTTACCCGCCAGCATGCGATCGCATCCGCTGGCACACGGAGGCCACGGGAGTGCTACAGATAGCCGAGATCAAATCCCAAGACGGCCTAAGCTAGCCCCAAGAGTATCCTGAGAGTGCCCCCAAGATGGACCAAGATTCAACGACCGCTTGCGAAACCATGCGGGTCCAACCGACGCTGTGCTATCGGACACCCTCGTCGGGGCTCACATGGCTATAGACACCGTTCAACTTCTGAAAACCCGCCGGTGCTTCAGAAGTCTGACCTGCAGAAGTATATGGCCCACATTTGCCTTGAATATTGTATCCAGATGGAGCCGCTAGCCAGACGGTGCCAAGCAGGCCAAGGAAGAACATAAATTGCTCGAGAGCGCTCTGGAGCGCTCCCAGGCTCTGGAACGGCTGCGGCACCCGATACACAACCTCCAGACCCGCAGCATGTCAGAGATCCCCGAATCGTCTTACCCCAGTGCCGTCCTCTCCCCGCCGCCATCTCGAGGTGATCGACACGACGATCACGGTGATGCCGCCGGTCTACATGGAGCCGCTTCCCCCCAGCGCAGCGCGGAGCACGTCCAGTCCGTCCATGCCCGCAGAGCCCATCCAGTCCGCGCCCGTGGAGCCCGTCCCGCCCGTGCAGTCCTTCCAGCAGCCAGCTGTCGTGCAGACGCTGCCCGCGGTCACCGCGCCCGCCGTCTACATGACCGCCCCGGCGTCCTCGGTGGCGCGCGCGGCGCCCGCGGGGAGGGACCACGACGACGACGACGACGACGACGACGACGACGAGGGTAACGACCACGCCACGACGTCCACCGCCTACCGCCACGGTGAGGACGAGGGTCATCAGGAGGAGGGCGAGCACGAGGAGGAGGAGAGGAACTGCTCCTCCTCCGTCCCTCCATCCCTCCCTCCCTCCCTTCCTGAGAGAAGAGGAGGAGGAGGAGGAGGAGGAGGAGGAGGAGGAGGACGAGGAGGAGGAGGAGGAGGAGGAGGGGGGAGGAGGAGGAGGAGGAGGAGGAGGAGGAGGAGGAGGGAGGAGGAGGAGGAGGAGAAGAGGAGGAGGGACGAGGAGGAGGAGGAGGAGGAGGACGAGGAGGAGGAGGAGGAGGAGGAGGAGGACGAGGAGGAGGAGGAGGGGGAGGAGGAGGAGGAGGAGGAGGAGGAGGCGGAGCAGGAGGAGGGAAGACGAGAGCCAATCCCGGGTGCACCAGCGGTGCTGCACAATACACCGTCCCATCCCGAGTCCCTGTCCTGAGGCCCTGCGGGATTTTTTTTCCCCCGCGGGGCGCGCCCCGTGGAGGGGCGGGCGCCCCACGGTCCTGCCCCGCTCGGGCGGGAGGCTCGTCCCGAGAAGGGCTCGCCCTCCACCCGTTCTGGCTGCCAGGAGCTTGGCAGCGCTCGGACGTGTGCCTTTTTCCTTCGGCGAGGACCATCGAGGACCATCCTTGATCATTTGGCGAAAGAACCACGCACGGAACCGAACAAAAAACACAGGGAATGGACGTCCGAGCGATGGCCAGGGAGGAGCAGGGCCAGGAAGTTAAAGGAGCCGTCCAGTGAGAGCCCCGAGAAGGAGCTGCCCTCCCCCTGTGTAGCTCTCTTGGCAGCGCTCGGGCGTGTGCATTTTTTTCCTTCGGCGAGGACCATCGAGGAGAATCCTCGATCATCTGGCGAAAAAAACCACGCGCGAAACCGAACAAAAACACAGGGAATGGACGTCCGAGCGATGGCCAGGGAGAGCAAGAGGAGCAGGGCCGGGAAGTTCAAGGGGCCGTCCAGCGAGAGCCCCGGAGAAGGAGCTGCCCTCCCTCTGTCAGGAGGGGAAAAAACACACACAGACACCATTGATCGTCGATTCCCCCGAAAAATATGGGAAAAGGTGGGAAGTGGGAGGGGGAAGGCAAAAACCCAGAAAATGTAGGAAAACATGGGGAATAATTTTATTTCTGTGTATATGTTTGTGTGTTTGTGTGTTTGTGGGCCCCTTCACTCTGTGTAGCTCTTGCACAGCGTTGCACTTCTGAGCGGCCTGAGGAGTGTCCAGCGGGAGCCCAATTCAACAGGGAGCTTCCCGCCGTCCGTGTAAAACGGTGGGGGCGCTGTTTCGGGAGTGTGACCAGGAGGCGTCAGACCCTTGAGGATTCGTTGTCTGAGGGCGGCAGTGGCATCCATGACCAAGCCTCAATTGGAGTTCCACCAGCTTCCAGACCATGGATTATGTATTCCATGGTTCCTTGTCCAACGCCCACCATAAATGTACAAGCTTGAGATACGGGTCATATCATGTGAGAAAGTCTCCGGCGCGTGCTGCATGTTTAAAATGAGCCGCCCTTCAACTGTGTAACCGCTGGAACAGTTCACACGAATACGCGCGGCACTAAGGCGAGAGTCACATGGTAGAAACGGCCAGTCCTCCATCTGTGTAGCCCTGGGAAACTTTTATGACGATTACGCAAGGCGCCAAAGCAAGATCAAGAGTTTGAAAACCGCCCGCCCTCTACCAGCGTAATTGCTAGAAGGTGTGGAAATTTCTGGCGAAACGCCTGGAAAGCCCTCCCGACACGTCCGGTGGGTGCTACGACGCTATGACGATGAGGAGCTGTGCATGCGGAAGCAGGCTGATGCCAAGGAGGGAACAGGACGACGGGACCATTAGATGAGCGAATCTGCTCTTGCGCGTTTGAAATTCCCAGGGGCTTTAAAGGGGCACCCGGGGCATTCCAGGGGCCAGGGACCTCCGCGGATTGGGGAGCTCCAGGCCTCGCGGGTGCCTCCAGAAGAGGCCTCCTCGCACGGCTCTCCCCCCCTTCCCCAGTGCTGTCAAAGGCGCCGATGACCCCACTGGGACCCTGAATCCCCCATTCCTCGATCGAGGATCCAGGAATCCAGGGATCATCAGGCCCTCGATCGACCATCGACAGGGGAGCAGGAGGAGGACGGAGGAGGGTGGAGGAGCGAGGACGAGGGAGGGATGAGGGAAGGGAGGAGGAGGAGGAGGAGGAGGAGGAGGAGGAGGAGGAGGAGAGTCCGCAGCCATTTTGGCTCAAGGCCGTTTGCGGAAGATTAGCACAAGGGGGGACGGCCTCAGCCCGGTTGCCGCGCCGCGGCCCGGCGGGCGCCAGCAGCCATCTTGGAGAAGCGGCCTCGGCATGGCGCAGCCGATCGGGGTGACGGATACCAGTTCTTGGGCCCGCCAGGCTCGACTCGCCCGACGGGCCAAGTCCCCCCCCACTGGTTGGATCCCCTTAAGGTTTGATTCCGGCCAGGCTCCTCCAGGACCTAACCAAGTTTTGGATTATTTTAATGGCGAGTGGGAGAAGATGTGGACCACGCCGGGGTGGGCACCATTCTGATGCGGACCCTCTAGATTATCTGGAGCAGCACATTGCCAGGCAACAAGCGGCCCAACGTGTTGCTCACGACAAGCTACAAGATCAAATCAAGTCGATCGATGAGCTCCAAATACACCTCGGTCAGTGGGAGGAGTGGTGGAATCATCAAGAATCACAGGAGAACAGTGGAAGCGCAGGGATTCGTTATGGGGGGCATGTTGGATGCCGGACTGGGACGAAGACGCGCTCCAGAACCATAGCGTGCGAGAAGCGACGGCAGTACCAAAGCGTGCGGGAAGCGTCAGCGACGAGAGAGACAGAAACCAAATGCCATCAGCTTCGTGTGTGCGCCCGTCTGTGCGAGAAGAGTTTGGCCGTGGCAGTTTACGGAGGCGTGAACGACAGCAACCAGACGTCCTCGGATACAGGCGCGGGCCCACACGTGCGAAGGGGCGGCGGTGCCAGCGGACAAAGCCAAGACGCCATCAGCTACATACGCGGGGCCGTGCGTACGAGAAATGTCAGCAGTGGCAGCGGTCGGCGGCCAGTCTAAGAAAAACCGTGTGCCATCAGCTGCAGGCGCGGGCCCACGTGCGCGAAAAGAGTTGGCAGTGGCAGCGGTCAGTAGCGAAAGTGACAAATACCAAACGTCATTAGCTACATGCGAGAGCCCAAATGTTCGAAAAGAATTGGCAATGTCGGACGCTGACGCCCTCGAGATGGACCAACGTGCGCGCGAGGCCGCCCTCGCGAGGCGCCAGACAATCGCATACCGGCAGAGAACAGGAGAGCCGGCAGTGGCGGCAAACGGCTGTGAGGAGGAAAAGGAGGAGGAGCCCCGGACTCAATCAGCTACATGCGCAAGAACAGTGGCAGCACACGTTTCGGCAGCGGGGCGAGAAGGGCTGGCAGTAGTGCGAGAAGGGTTGGCGGATGTGCGAGAAGGGCCTGCAGTGGTGCGTGAAGGGCAGGCAGTGGTGCGAGAAGGGCCAGCAGTGGTGAGAGAAGGGCTGGCAGTGGGGCGAGAAGGGTCGGCAGGCGGCAGTGGTGCGAGGAGGCCCCGCAATGGCAGCAGCGTCAACAAGCAGAGGCGGCAACCCGAAATACGAGCCCGACATCATCACTCACGACAGATGGGGCGCGCAGTACGAGCCTGACGCCATCGGCTACGAAGGCGACGCAGCGAAACAAGAGCCCGACGCCATGAGCTACGAGGACGTTGTCACGACGCATCAGCTGCGAGGGTGGCTCAGCTAAAAATTGAGGCCAACACGAGCTTGACGCCATCAACTACGAGAGTGGTGCTACATAGCGCGAGCCCGACGGCATCACCCGCGAGGCTGGGGACGCAAAACACGAGACCGAAGCCATCAGCTACGAGGGTGGCACAGCGAAGAACGAGCCCGATGCCATCAGCTACGACGCTAGAAGGCCTGAAGCGTCCCGTTTCGAGTTGGACGCGGACGTCGTACATGAGGCAGTCGTAAGCGGTGACGCCTCGGGCGTGGCCTACTGGCTGCGGGATATACCAGTCTGGCGTGACCGACTTGCTCCTGGCATCCTCCACCAATTCCTGGCTGCCTGCAGATTCGCTGTCGAACGTGGCCACCGAGATATAGCACACCTATTCATTACCGAGATCAGGAGCGGCAGTGGCAGCTCGAAGAGGGACGGCAGTGGCAGCCCGGCTGTGCGATGAGGGGCGGCAGGGGTTGGGTCGCACGAGGGTCGTGACGAGGTCGAGGAGAGCGACGAGGAGCCCGAGGAGGAGCTACGAGTCGGAGGAGGACGACGACATTGCGCCGGATGATACACAGGGAGAGGAGGAGAGCTCAAAGACGTCATCAGCTACAGACGAGGGTCAGCACGCGGGAAATGGCAGCGGGCAGTGGGACGACCAGTGAGGCAGAAACGTCATCAGCTGCAGAGGGCAGGGGCCGAGGTTGCACAGGGTTCTGGCCGAGGCAGCAGAGTGCACGGCGAGCGCCTGGTCCACGTCGGGATGTTGTCCTACGACCTTGACTGGCGCATTCTGGAGGACCACGTGAAGAAGGCAAGCACAGTGGATTACGGCAGAGTGATCACCGAAGACGGCACCGTCTGCGGCAGATCGATGGAGTATGTATACTTGCGCTTCTCCGTCGATGCAGAGGTCCAGCAGGCCATAGCCATGTCCGCCGTGACGGAGCTCATGGGTAGCAGGATACTTGTCAGGCTGTACCCGTTGGTCTGAACTACTACAAGCTCAATTATGTGTTGCATCACGTGTGGAGCATCAACGGCAGGCGCGTGAGAAAAGCCGGCAGCGGCAACAAGCTAGGCACCAGATGTCATGAACCACAGGCGTGGATCAGCGCGTGCGAGAAGGGCCGGCAGTTGAGCGGGTAAAGTGGCACTGCGGACGATGCGCGGCCATCGGCTGCGCTCTCAGGTCGAGGCGCCAAGGGATGGTTGTCATAAGAGTGAGAGAGAGAGAGAAAGAGAGAGAGAGAGAGAAAGATACAAGGAAAAAATAAATACCAAAAAACAGAGGAGGAGGACAACGACGACGAAGAGGAAGCGGCTGACCCCCCAGGGGGGTGCGCACCCCGCTCAGGTTTCATCGTCGCTCCCGGCGGCGGACCCGGGCTTCATCGTGGAGCCCATGGCGGTCGACGCCCCGCCGGTCGAGCCCGTGCAGGCGAGGCGGGTCTCGCGCACCTCGCTGCCGTGGGCACCTGCAATAAGACTGAATCAATATTGTGAGTTTTTGTCCATGGGCACGCACACGAGCGAACAACACACACCCATAGTCATGAGGGGTGTGGGGAGGAAGGCTGGCTCTGGGTATGGGCGCCCTGGGGGGGCTCCCGTTCGAGCGGGGACCTCGATCCGACAGCACGCATTCATGGCCCCCCTTCCGTCCCTTTCTATGGGCATGGATGTGCGATGTTCGTTCGTCATGCAACCTTGTCACTCAGCCCATCCTAGCCCTGAGCCATGGGCAAGGGGTTTCCAGCTTGAGCTCCATTTCGGGGCACCCCAAGGCCTTGCATCCTCACCGCGCATCCTCATGAACTGGTCGCGCCCGTCCTCGGCCAGGGGGGGGGGCACGTGATCTACCCCCGCGTTTTCTCGTCGTGCGGTCGTAGGCCTCTGGGGGGCCTTTCCCCCGGCCTCGGGGCCGTGAAAAAAATCGGCTCGGGACGAAGAGCTCACCCCACTTTGGGAAGCCTTGACGTATACGCTGTGCAGTGCTCATCATTAGGAAGGCCCTTCAAGTTCCCTCTTCTCCCCTCCGCCCTCTGCGCTGTTTGCCACCTCCTCTCACGCTTGCTCCTTACGAGTGCTGCTTTTCTCTCTCCCTGCCGACGTTTGCTTGCTCCCTCGCCGCTCCCAGGATTCTGTTGCGCAGGACTGCCCGCATCTCGAGTGCTGGGTACAGCACCAGCAGGGGCGCCGCCTGGGTCGGGGCGGTTGCCGTTCTCCAAGGGGCGGCACGCTGGCGCGAAGATGATCACACGTCGCGCATCGCGGGGCGCGGGGCGTGAAGCTGGGTGACGTGGGTGACGGGGCCTCGGCTGCACCACTGAGGTCCTCCTATCACCGAACGCGATACGATAGCAGCGGACTGCGCGCTTGGGTTTGGCACTCCCGCGCCCCCCGAAGGCCGTGCACAAGAGGCCCAGACTGCCTACGGTCAGTCACTCTTCCGTGCAGCCAAGGGGCCGGGGTCAGCCAGTCCCATCTGGTCCGCTTTGGCTGACCCTCGGTTTGGGCGCCACGTGGGGCCGAATCTCTCCCCCAGGTTTGGGAGCTACGCCGTGGTTGGCTCACGTTCGCGATGTGGCCTTGGCTGGCAGGGGATAGCGCTGACCCAGATTAGCGTGTCGCCAACCTGCCTCGATTGAGGATCGAGGTCCGAGGATATTGGTTGTTTTTCGTTTTCAGTTCCAGAGGCCTCCTGGGAGCCCTCGTCATCATCATAATCAGCATTATCATCAGCAGCAGCATCAGCATCATCAGCATCAGCATCATCATTATCATCATCATCCTCCTCCTCCTCATCATCATCATCAGCAGCAGCAGCAGGGGCAGGGGCAGGAGCAGGAGCAGCAGCAGCAGCAGCAGCAGCAGCTTCAGCAGCAGCACCACCACATGCACCATCCACCACCATCACCATCATCGCTATCATCATCCTCACTCTCCCTCTCCTCGATCGAGGACCGAGATTTGTAGCCTGCTTTAGGTCCTCGTGTGTCTCTGGGGTCCCACGGGGGCTCCTCCTCATCCCCGTCGAGCATCGAAGATCGACGAGGACCGAGGATCGACGAGGACCGAGGATCGAGCGAGGCTTTTAGACGTGCTTGGCATTTTCTCTGCGCACAGATCTCTCTCTTCTGGGGGCATCCTGGATACGAATGGAGACCTCGGGGTCGTCGTTGTCTTCCTCCGGATCCTCCTCCTCCGATTCCTCCTCCCCCCATCTTCTTCCCCCTCCTCCTCTTCCTTCTTTCCGTTAGGTAAGCTTCAATCGTCAGATTACAGCGCTCCTCGGGCGAAAAATGCATAACTCTGACTCAGACCAAAGCGGTAACGAAGTATGGCAGCACATAATGCGGAAAGGGAAAGGCAATGGCATTTGGCGAATGTTGAGAGGGCCGCGAGGACATAGAGTAACTAAGCTGGCTGCCAGTGGCAGTTGAAGGGGGAAACAGAACCATAGCGCCACCATGTACTGCAACATGTAGCAATACGAGGGAGAATACCGAACAGAGTGAACGATATACGCGTGCATGCAAGACTAAAATCAGACGACTAGTCAGCAGGCCTGCACGTGTTGTGTAGCGTTGCTTTGGGTGATAAAATCACCGAAGGGCACCAGGCCGCTGTGTGTGATTTCGAGTCCTCCCTACATGCCCGTCGCACCCCTCAGGTTTGAAAGGTTGGCGTTGTTGCAAGCTTGAAACAGAGTGCTAAGTTGCGGTACGGGTTGCAGTGCAGAAAGAGAGTGTGATGATGCGACGGCGTGAGATCTTAAACGATACGGGCTAGGCTGGCGTATATAGGCTGACCTGTGTTGGTTGGCTGTGCGGGGAGCGAAGGCAGTGAGTGCAGCCTGAAAGAGGGTCTGCGTTGTCGGCTAGTAAACGGCGATGGGTTGAAGCATGCACGGTGAGATTGCAATGCCCCGTGAAGTTTGAACATGGTGGGCACAGAAGTCTAGCTCAGACGGTACTGATAGGCGTGTGCGGTAGCCATATCTTGTATCTTGGAAGTCGCAGAGAGTGTTATCAACTAAGGTGGTGCTAACGGTACAGGTTGGCTTGTTGGGTGTGTTCACATATGTTAGTTATGAGTGGATGCATTGGAACATTGTAATTCTTGAGCGGTAATGCAGGGTAGTTGTGAACAAGGGGGTGGGAGTGCAGTAGTAAATCGCGGAACGACAGACCACAGCGGAGAGCACATCGTACAGCTCAGTCTGCCGAGGTACGTGTTGGCGCCCTTTCCGTCCCCCCATCAATGCACCACTCCAACTTGCCGCCTCCGCCTCTACTTCCGCCTCCGCCTCCGCCTCCTCCTCCGCATCATCCTCCTCATCCTCATCCTCATCCTCCTCCTCCTGATCCCTCCTCCTCGTCCTCCTCCTTCATCTCCTCCTTCTACTCCTCCGTCTCATCGTCCAAATCATCCTACCCCTCCAAATCGTTCCTCTCGTCATCTTCTTCCCCCCCCCCTCTCCTCGCCATATTGCCCCTCTCCTCGTCGCCCTTCTGGTCACACTCCTCCTCCGCCTCCTCCTCCTCCTCTCAAGTAACAGTTGGGCCCCGAACCGATTTGGGGGAAGTGCCCAACGCCTCTGTGCTTCCCCGCGGCACTTGAGGGACTAGGTTGACACACCCGTCCTCCCAGATGGGTGCCAACCTCGGCTAAAGCAGAGGCATATTTCAGGCTTTGTAGCGTTCCCATTCCAGTCAGGTTTCTCTCTCGCCATGGCGCCACCGTTCTACCGGCAGTGGACACGATGCTCAGGCTGCCAGCGTTGCAAGTACAACGACGTGCTCCTCAAGCAGCCCACCCTGGAGTGTTCCAAGTGCGGTGCTTCCATGCTTCCATGGTCCTGTTCACGAGCCAGGCGGCCCAGCGCGGCAGGCGCAGCTCCTCGCGCCCGCGCGTCCGCTTCTCCGACCAGCCGCAGCAGGACGAGGAGCCCGCGATGGTGAACCCCAGGGGCATCCTGCAGCAGACCAGCCCGCGACGCAGGCGCTCGACCCAACAGCCTGCATCGCAGGCGCCCTCCTCCATCGCGACACTGCTCGAGCAGGCGCTGACATCCACGGAGGACCCCGGGCTGCAGGCGAACCTGGCGGCGCAGGTGGCGCAGCTCAAGGAGGAGGCCACGGGCCAGTCGGCTCCTGCCCCCCCAGTGGAGGCACTCCGCAGAGCGGACGGCGTCTGGAAGGACGCGGGCCACCGCCACGGACAACAGGTGGCCAACGCCGTCCGCCTCCGCCAGCAGCTCGTGGCGGCGGAGACCAAGGAGCAGGCGCTCGCCCTGGAGGTTGCCCAGGCCATTGGCGGCACGGCGGGCAGCGGCGGCGGCGCTGCAGCATGCAGAAGGTATCGGCGATCCCCAGACCAAGCAGGAGGAGACAGGCGCCAGCAAGCCGATCTTCCAAGTGTGCTGGGAGGCGGCCTTTTTCGACCAGAACGATTCAGTATATTGCGAGGAGCCCGAAAAAGTCCAATCACGGGCCCTCAAGGAGAACCTGGAGGCCACTAAGTCCAACATGGCGGCTAAGGAGGCTGAGGTTCAGGCCTGCTTGTCGGAGCTCGCCAATGTCAGAGCTGCCTTGGAGACGCGCGCGGCCAAGAAGAGGCGCGCCGCCGACGGCGAGTCCCTGCCGCAGCCGGCAGCACCAGCGCCCGCGACGGCGCCCGAGGCGGCAGTGGCAGCGGCAGCGCCGCCAGCGGGGCGAGATGGCGGCGAGGAGGCTCCCAGCGAGCCCGCCCCCACGCCTTCCCCCGCAGCGGCGGCCAAGGTGGCGGAGGAGGCCGAGCGCCTGTCGGCAGCTAAGTACCAGGCCGAGGAGCTGAAGAAGACCAAGGCTAAGGCTGGCAAAAGCAAGGGAACACCGCCCAAGCCTCCAGCACCAGCAGCAGCGGGGGCTAAGGCCTCCGACCCAAACATAGATAGCTGTGACTTGGGACTCTTTCGTCTTCGTCAGCGTCTTCGGGTGCGAGTGCCGGCGCTACTCCAGCGGAGACGCAGTCAGAGAGGAGTTCATCTCAATTCGCTCGACCATTTCCCGCGAGTGTCACGTGCATGGGTTCCAAATCGTGGTCTTGGTTGGGAGGCCAGGACTACGACTACTACAGTAGTCTGGAAACACATCTCCGCGACGACAAGTCACAGCGGAAGTGCGACACAGTAGCTACAGAGGCAGGCAGGTCTTCGGTTGTTCCAGAATCGCGCCAGATGCCCGGACAAATCTGTCAGCGGCCAGCACGCTAAGCAGAGCAGCGAGGGGGCGAGGGGGGCGAGGGGATCATGCCGAAGGGCTACCTGCAGACACACCGCCTGGCAGTGGCCCACGCGGCCAAGATCAGGCTCCAGGCACCGCATCATCCTCAGAGCTTCGACGGCTTCATGGCGGTCGTGGCCCACCTGGCGCGAGATTCAATTGTCCTAGTCTCGTTCTACGCCCACAACGGTTGCGGCACCAAGGGTTCGAATGCAGGTCGGTACCAGCGCCTGGCTGGCCTGCTTTGGTCGTTTCAGTTGCCGTGGATTGTGCGCGGCGATTTCCATCTTAATCCAGAGAAGCTCATCCAGTCAGGGATCCCGGATCGTCTGCATGCAAAGGCGATGGCAACAGGAGAGGGTGTTGCCATTTGCTCGCTCGGTGCAGGAACAGTGATTGACTACCCCATGTGTAGTGAGTCCGCAGTACCCCTCGTCGTCAGTATGACTCCAGTTCTTGAGGTCACAAGGAAACCCCATGTAGGATTGGAAGTGGTCTTGCGCAGCACGGGAGAGCAACTCATCGCCCGTGTCCTTTTGACCCTGGCAGGCTCCCACAGGCCCCCAGGCCTTGCGCAGTGGCCACGCCAGGGCACACGTCAGCGTCAGCGAAGCCTTCAGCGTCAGCTTGCGATAGAAAAACGCGCGCACAAGTTTGGCTCTCTTCTCGGGTACTGCTCAACGCAGTCAGTAGAGGCGCACTCTCACGACCAGTCTGGGGTTCAAGACGGTCCTGCAGAGGTAGGGGGGCCCACCGACTCTCGGGCTTTAGATTTCGACGAATGGCCCGATGAGGAGGACCCGTGGGCCGAAGAGTTCAACTTTTGTAGCGACCCCTCCCTAGGCTAGTCACCAGTACGAATTAGATCCATGCCCAGGGATCTTGAGAAGGACCTTGCGAGAGGACCCGAAGCGCATGGCTCTCCACCGTCAGTCGACTGGCGCCGCTGTCGGGACCCTTTCCGCCCCCCCCTCCGAGAACCCTTCGGGTGGAAGACCCTGGGCAAAGGGACTAGGGGACCTGTGTCAATAATTCGGTTGACCCTCACCCAGTCCCAGGGGAGCTCGAGACCAACCCGTCTGGACGGGGCGAAATTTCTGGCCTTGTGCCCGCCGACACGAGTGACTCTACTCCCGTGCCTTCCTCGCCTGGGCGCTCTGGTTCTCAGGCTGGTAACTCCGGGTCGGGGCTCAGCAGCTCTGGAAGGGGACCCATCGCACGCCATCCCGCTGGACCTGCGGAGGAAATGCCGTCAGCAAGTAACGTTTCATTATGGATTTCAGGATGTCCAATCCCTGGTTCCTGCTGTTCCGCCTGCTGCCGCCTCCCTCGCCATTGTCTCGTCCACCCACGCCCTCGACGACAACGGTCGAGGTTGCTTGAAATGTAGGGGGTCGGCGTCGAAAGGCACTCTCACCGAGCGGCGTCAATCGCCATGCTTTGTTATGCTTATTTACGACGGCACCCTTTTCAAGAAACCTCCACAGACCAGGCTTCACATAGCAGGCGGATGGGTGCATGATTCCCATAAGATGCAATTTCATAGAGGCACTTGTTTGTGATGTTGTGTAGGTTACGGCTGCTACGTCAGCCAGCAGCTACGTGAGCTCAGCAAGCTGTGTCTCGAGATAGTGGTTCACCACACGGTTGAGTATCTCACGAGAATGTCCAAGGGCCAATGGCCCAAGGTACTAAGTGCAGCGGAGAAAAGTGCCAGAGGCTCTCCAGTGTAGCTCACACGCCCAAGGAGGTCGGCCGCGGTTGCAGATTTGACGTTGTCATGTTGTCATGTTCATGCTCTTTTTCTTCCTCCTCCTCCTCCTCCTCCTCCTCCTCCTCCTCCTCCTCCTTCTCCTCCTCCGCCGCGCCTTCGCCCAGGCCCCAGTCGAGCCTGTGCATGCAGCGGCCGCCGAGACCGTCAGGACGGTGGGCCAGATCACCGTGGCAGCTCCCGTGTACGTGTCCAGGGCCGCCGCGCCGCCTGTGGAGCCAGTCCAGTCGCAGGTTATGGCCTGAGGAGGGGGAGAAGGGGGAGGGAAGAGGAGGAGGAGGAGGAAAAAAACAAAACAAAACAAAACAAACATACAAAAATAATAACAAGGAGAAGAAGAAGAAGAAGAAGAGGAGGAGGAGGAGGAGGAGGAGGAGGAGAAGGGGGGAGAAAGGGGAGGAGGAGGAGGAGGAGGACGAGGAGGACGAGGAGGAGGAGGAGGAGGACGAGGAGAAGAAGAGTGATGAGGAGTAGGGTGGAGGAAGGGGGGAGGAGTATGAAGGAGGAGGAGGAGGAGGAGGAGGCGGAGACGCAAGGCTCAAGGCACGAAAGCCAGGACAGAAGCCAGGGTACCCCACACAGAGATGGCCCCCGCTACACGGGGCCGACAGTATCGACGAGCCGGGCCCATTGGGCCCAGCCTCGGGCCGGCGCGCCACCCAGAAGCACTACGGCCTTACCCGCCAGCCAGTCCAAGCGTAGGGTAGATCCCCCAGTTCTCCAAGGCGAAGCGTGGCGACGCTGTAGCACCCAGCCGGCGAGAGTCCGACCGAACGCAGCGGGCGTGCAATGCCCTAAGAAATCGCGTTGTTTCTTTCCTCCTCGACCTCCGCATCACCGACGTCAGACGATGCTAGACTCCTCGGCGTCAACGTGGATGCTCGTGGTTCTGAGGCACTTGCGGACGCCTACGAGAGAGGTCCCTGGCGACGTGGGGCCGCCGCGAAGTCCATCTTCATGTAGGTGCCCTGTCTCTTCCTCTGGGTACTCTTGCCCTTGACCGTGTAGTTGCTCCTCTTGCTCTTCATCGGATTCTCGTCGAAACTCTTGCACCAGCCGTGGCGAAGCTCATTGGACGAGGACCTGGACGTTGCCGCGCCACCACGCCCAGCCCACAGCGACCGCGCCCTGAGGCCTGGCGAGGTCTTGGCACTCGAGCTTGCGCCCGAGGGCGGCTGCCCGCTCCCTTCGACATGTGGCGCGGGCTTCGGCTGCACCGTCCTGGTGTCCGTGTGGTGGCTGCGCGGGCTGCGCGACCTCGGGCGGACGCGGGTGCTGTGCCGCTTCCGTCCCCGAGTCGCCCCAGTCCAACGAGCCCGAGTCGTCCGTCTCTGACTCCTCGCTGCCCTCACTCTCCAGCAGCTCCTCCTGCAGGGTCTGCACCTGCTGCCGTGGCGCCGTCCTGCTGCGGGTCCCTGCGCCGGCCTCCTGCCACAAGCTCCTGACCTCCTCGGCGATCGCGCCGCCCGCACGCGTTCCTTGAGTTCCGTCTTTTGCGCGTTGAGTTCTTCCGTCGAGGCTGGGGTCTACGCGGTGCCGTTGCGCATCGGCAAGGGCTGGCAGCCAGCCTGCTGCGCCTCTGGTCCACGCCGACTCGGCTCGCGTGCGGGGCGCGCACGTGCCTTCCGTTGCCGACACGTACCGAATTAGGTAGGAGAAGGAAGTGGAAAAGGCGGAGGGGAAGGAGGAAGAAGAAGAGACATATGCCTACGCAGACCTACGCCCCCGCTGAGCCCGTGCAGAGCTACGCCCCCACTGAGCCTGTGCAGACCTACGCCCCCACTGAGCCTGTGCAGACCTACGCCGCCCCCGAGGCTCGTCGGGGTCGCCGTCGCCGCTGCCGTCGTCGTCGCTGCCACTGTCGCTGCCGTCCCCCTTCTCCTTCCTCCTCCTCCTTTTCCTCTTTCTTTTCCTCCACGTCCTCCCCTTCCTCCTCCTCCTTTTCCTCCTCCTCCTCTTCCTCCGTGTCCTCCTCGTCCTCGCACTCGTCCTCATCCTCCCCCAACTCGAACGGTAGCCCATACTCACTGATCCTGTCTTCGTTGCCCTGTTCAGTCTTCTCCGCCTTCCCGCTGCCATTTTGGGCCCGGGTAGCCGGCCGTGCACCCGTGCCCGTGCTAGACACGTGTTTTATTGTGTGCTTCTGCTTCCGCGAACAATGCATCAGTTTTCATAGTTGGTAGCGGAGCTTCGGATCCTTTCCACTACTTTTCGCCGCCATGACCCGCGTAGCACATCCGCCAGTCCCTCGATCGCCTACTTTTGCTTTTTTGCCCAATCATCCTCCTCGTGTTCGGCAAGAGTGTTTCGAGCGTTCCTGCTTTCCGTGTTCATGATTTTCGCATTCGCTGAGTCGGGCAACAAGGACACCTGCCACAACGAAGACATCACCGAGTACCTCAAGGAGCGCGGCGCCACCCCATCGATGCCCGTTTATCTCCCAGGGTTGCTCCAACTATGTTGGAGGCGCACTCGGAGCCACAGGGTTTGTCTTCGGTTGAAAACAAGGAGCCACCATCGTTCACATCAGCAGCCGCAGCCAGTGGCCCCGAGCTTCTCGCAACTATGTCGCGGGAGCCCTGGGAAACGGAGGCGGTTGAGAATTCGGATAAGAGATGGCAATCAGTAGAGTGCTGGACAATTGCGGTGTCATCTCCCCAAGGAACAGTGAAGCCCGTATGGAACTACCTGTCTTCGTTCACATAGCACACGACATATCGCCCCACCCGCCGATGTCCTTCAGACTGGCAGGGCGAGATCCCGATGCGCACTCCCCTGGACGATCACGCAGTCGGCGGTGCCCAGCGCGGCAACGGCGCGACGCTCAAGGGGCGCGTCCGCAACAACGTTGCGGAATGTCCCGAGCGCGGCGAACGCGACGACGATGCGACACACGAAGGGCGCATTCGCAATTATGTTGCGGGATGCCCCGGGCGCGGCAACAGCCACAACGACGCGACTGAAGATTGCACCCAATACGCCGACGAAGAGGAGCACGCCCAGGGCAGGGCCCCACGACAGCTCCGAGGCCCACGGTCAGAGCAACGCCGTCGGCAGGCCCCCAGCCTTCAGTACCTCCCCAACCTATGGAGGGACCTCCACTCCGGATGGAAGGCCATCGGGGTGGGCGTTTTCGCCCAGACCAGCCGCCTCGCCTGCGCGGACGCAGGCGGCGGCAACGGTTGCACGCGTCACCTCCGCACCTGGGGCCCGAGCAGCAATCTCGGGCCCCCGTCCAACGAAGGGCGGGGCAGGTGATGATCTGGTGGGTGGCGGACTCGCACTTCAACGAGCTTCGCCGGGCGGCCTGCGCCTCATCTCGCCCCGCTGGCATGGCCCGAGAAGACGTGGGCGAGTGGCCGGCAGCTGTCCTCGCAAAGGGAGGCACCATCAACGGCAAACCAGTGCCACCGATGACCTTCCTGGCGCACAGTCCGGCCGAACGTTTGTGCCATCTGGGCGAGGGGGGGCGCGCCTCGGCAGTCTCAGCATTTATGGGCTTGAATCGACTTCCGCAGGAGCGCATAGATAACCTCCTCCCACAATTCGACATCCTCCACATCCGCGCCCAGCAAGCCGGTCAACTAATGATCGGCTACGATGGTCGCCTGTTGCGTGCGGCAGGAGTTTCGAACGCGCAGCTGGCCACGATCTTGCAGCGCCACAACATGGCCGACCCGACCAACGCAGCACAACTCGCACATATGACGGGTCAGCTGCGACTCTTCGGGTACATGACCGAGAGGTCGCCCGGCAATCTCGCCCCAGACTACATCCGGATCGGGCCAGGGCGGCCTGGGCCCTTCAGCGCCGGGGGCGGCACCCAGCCCACTTGCACTGGCAGCACCATTGCAGGAGGCATCCCCAGCAGCTACCAACGACTCTGGCACCGACACCGACACCATCAGTTAATTCGGCGAAGGAAAGATGGCCGCCGACGACCCCGAGCTACGCGATGTTCCAGCGAAGAAGCGCGGCGCACCCTGCCCCGGCCCACGCGCGCGCCAAGGCGCGACGGCAACGCTTCGACTGCCACGTGCCCGCGCACCGCGCCCGGAGGGCCGTTGAGAGGCCCGCGCAAGGGCCACCGAGCATTCTTGGCCGACGACTTGCCCGAAAAGTCTCGACGGGGCGCGAGCGATTGACGCGTCGCGAGTGCGACTCAGAGGAACGCTTCGCGCGCGCGCTCTCTTCCTCGACGCCTGCCCCGCGTCGCCGCCAGCGTCCGCGCCGACGTCAAAACTGGGGCAGCAACGGCCACGGGGCCTAGCTGAGCAGCAGCCCATGACGAACACACGCGCGCAAGCACGCGGTTTGGACGATCAGGAACGCCGCCAGCCATAGGCAGACTACGCCTGGACGCTCTGGCGCGAGCGACCCCATGCAGATCTCTGATCACCGGGGCGGCGGACGGCCAAGCCAGCATCAGCAGCGCCGCGACCAGCAGCAGCAGCTACCGCGCCAGATTCGTCGCCCGACGGTTCGCGGCAACAGGTCGGCCGCAGTCAGTGGTCGCGTTGGGCGGGCGCCATCTTCAACGCCATCGCCCGCCCCCTGTGGCGCCGAGCTACGACGGGCGGCGGGCGATCTCGCGGGCCGCGCGCAAGCCTGTGCCCAGCCACCAGGATCCGCAACTAAGTCGCAGACCCACGCGGCAGCAGCGGGGGAGACAGCGCCGACAGCTCCAGCAGCACCGCGGACACAGCCCCAGCGCACGCGACGTTGGCGGCGCATTCCCTTCGGGCCAGGACTAGGGGCGAGGCTGGCTGGGCGGCCTCAACGCGCGGGCCGCAGCTCCCGCGCCACCAGCTGCAGACGCGCAGCTGCCAAGCTGGGCCTACGCGCCGTCTGCGGCCGCGCCCGGCATCGGCGCGCCATGCGGATCGAGTTCCATTTGGCCGGCACAATCGGCGCCGGGACCCACGCCGCCGCCAGTGCCAAACACTCCCTCTGGGTTGGTTTTGTGCATTCAACGCGGAAAGGCCAGTGGGCGTGAGCCAACCGTCGGGGATAATCGCCATGCAGAATGGCCGCATTGTTTTCTTGCCGCGAGACATGGATGTCCAGGGGTAGTCGGTCCGAGCACAGCGCGCATCCGATCCCCGACTACATCCAACGACGATACCTCGACGAGCTCCACAGCACACAGCTAGCACTGGGATCTGGGGTCTGGAGCCACTACGACAGGAGGCGCACCAGCAGCGCCAAGCCGCGCGGATTCGGGCAGAGACGCCGACTATCCCTCCTCCGGCGCCAGCTGCAGCGACAGCTACACCCCCCACAGCTGCTGCTTTCAACGGCGACGATAGGGAGTGCCCCATCTGTCTCGAAGCCTGCGTCCATGGCGAGAGGGTCGCACGACTACAGCGACGACGCATCCTGCTCCGCGCAGGCCATCTACAGCTCACGCAGAACACCGACACCACCTTGGCCCACTGCCCGGCGCGCCGCGGACGCATGAACGCCATCGCCGACACCTGCTTCACCGGTGCAAATCGCGCGCCCACGGCATCGACGCCCGCGGCTCCGACCCGCGGCGCGCCAGCAGGAGACGCGCCGCAGGAGAAAACAAAAAAAAAAAAAAAAAAAAAACAAAAAAAAAAAAAAAAAAAAAAAAAAAGCATGACACAGCACCTTGTCGGCCAGCTCCAGCACCCGGGACACTATCGCAAGATCTTCTCGAAACCCCAAGCAGCGTTTCCAGCTTCGCGTCCGCAATAGATATGCGCCAGTACCCTGCGACGCTCACCTGGACTTGCACATGCTTCCGCGTCGGCCTACATCGCACGGGCTTGCACCTTCGCGGTGGCCGATTTCGCCAGGAACAGGCTTGAGCTCCCAGGACTCGCCGCGCTACCTGGCAAGCACGTCACTGTCAGGCGGCCAGCGAGGCGCCATCGTGGACACCCGCGCTTGGACCAACCTCTGGGGCACGCGATTCGCCCTGAGGTGGCCTGGCGAGCCATCTAGGCGAAGCTCCATACCTCGGAGGAGAGGTTGCCCGTTCCACATACGCGGCAGGAGTGGGCAACGGGCCCCAAGTGGCGAACGGGGAGATCCATTGCCCACTCGGCGCAGCATGCGCGCTCCGGCCGTGGAGGGAGCAGGCGACGCCCCCCCTGCCTTGTTGGACCGGCAACCCACGCAGTCCAACGACGGAATTGTGGAGAAGGCGCGAACCACAAGCGCCTGACTGGGCGGCCGCGAGATCTCCTGGAGCCCATGCGCGACGCACTTCGACTTGGATTTCGCTCCGAGCGGACACCTTTGCATTCCAGTCGACCTTTACGGCGGGCTCTGGCCGCGCTCCGGGGACGCGATACTTAAACAGAGCCCATGCTGATTGCGGCGGGCAGCCAGGATCACGGCGACGGCGACGGACGAGAGCCTCAACAAGCTAAAGGTCCAGCTTCTCAGTCCGCATGCGAATGCCCCTGCGCGAAGCACCATCTCCGCCGGCTACGACCTGCGCGCCAGCTCCGACGCCAGCTTCCCGATACATGGTCGGGAGTTGGTACCTGCGGGCACAGCAGCATTAGCACCACCGTGCGCATACATACGCATTGCCCCACGCTCAGGGCTCGCGCCCAAGGGCATCGACATCACCGGCGGCGCGGTGGACCCCGACACCTGCGAGGAGATCAAGGTCATCGCGTAAAACACCACCCCGCGGAGCCACGTGGTCGAGCAGGGCCGCCGCATCGCCCAGCTCATCCTGGAACGGTACAGCGACGACGCCGAGGTCGTGGTCGCCCCCAGCCTACCTACATCGTCTAGGGGACCAGGTGGTTCTGAACACTGGAATGAGTTACCGCAGTCACGACACCATCCCGAGCGATGTGGCCATCTTGTCATCCGAAGGTCGAAGGTCAGATGGGCATTTCTGTTCCCGATTGCCCTGAGGAGCCGAACGACTAGGGAATCGTTGGGCCAGCCCATAAGGTCGGCCTTGCCGACCTACCCCAGCAGAGGAAGGCAGCAGGCCCAGGACGTCCCGCCTGGATCCTAGACCGCGGACGAAACACACCACTGGCACTGCAGGATCGTGGCTGCGACGTCATCTGCACCTCCGGCCTCGGTAGTGCAGTTCGGTCGCTATCGGATCTCACGCATCCTATCACCAACTACGGCATGCTGTGAATCATGCGCGGTACAACAAAGGGCGAGCTTCACCGCGTCCTCGACTCGCTGCCCAGTTGGTGCGCACGCGTCAAGGACGCAGGCACCAGGACCGTAGTTTTCGGCACTCACGGTCCACATTGGATGGAGTCGCCCCGCCGTGAAGCAGATGACCGACACGCGCGCGCGCCACTCAAGCAAGCATGCGGCATGCCACAAGGCTCTAGCACTAGGGGCAGAGCGCAGCATAATCGTTTGTTTACGATGCTGACAGGAGCTTGTCACCCAGACAGCTGTGCAAGTGTGGCATAAAGCTAGATGAGCACGTCGACGACTGGACCAACGCGACTTGGCGGCTGTACTTAGCCTTGATGTGCCGCGAGGCGTCACGTCTTGCGCCATACTGCAGCTGCACTTCAACGAGCAGCGGAGCGCCGAGGAAAACGCGTTTTCGACGAGGCAAAGCAGCAGCTTCAGCACCAGACTCGAACACGACTACCAGCATGATAGCGACTGGCAAGCGCGATTCCAAGCAGCACGCTCGTGACCCCAAGCAGCACATTACAAACAGGGCGACGTGGGTAGGGATCACCACCAGCCCGAGCGCTGATCCCTACCAAAATCGCGGTTTTGACTGAGGAGCGCACCCAGGACGAGCACCAGCAGCCACGAGGGGCGTCAGGCAATTATGCTGCCAGCACCGACCCCGCCCCAGAACGGGAGGCATCTGGTGGCTATGTCGCCAGCGTTTACCCCGCAGCAGAGCGCACACGTCAGAAGAATAAGGTAGGGAAGGCCACGTGCCTGCAGCCCGCAAGCAGGTTGTAGAGAACCACTACGACGACTGCGGCTCAGACCTCATGTGCCTCTCACCCTACCTTCTTGGCATATCTGCCATCGGCGAGCCAGGTCACGCCATCGAGTACGACAAAGACGAACACCACGGCAACTTCACCTCAGGTCTGCCCAAGTGGTGGTTCGCAGGATCGTCTGCCACAGCATCATATCGCCGACTGACGACAGCTCAAACTACGTCACAACCGACCGAGTTCGATACCTTTTTCCACCATTCCCTCATCTACCTTACCACACTTGACGATTGCGTCGACATCATCGAGGTTTGTGGTGGGGATGCTCGGACTAGCCAACTTGCTGTCCGACGCCATTTCAGACTTGACTCAAACTTCGACTTGGCTATAGGATGTGACTTCAAAAACGAAGGCCAACAACGTGCAGTGGAGAGGTACATGCGACAGCACCGACCTCTAGTGGCCATCATGACCCCCACGTGCCGGCCATTCGGCAATTACGTGCCCCCACGTGGGCGACGTACAGTTACAAGTGCAATTACGACACGTGGCTGCGTTCCTACCAGGACGCGGCCCCACACGGACGGTTTCGCGGTCACATAGCACGATTACAGTGTGCATCCATGATGTCTGGCGCCCATGGATACCGCAATGGTGCATGTGGAGCCGCAGTGGCCTGAAGGACGCGCCCAATGGCGCAGAAACCGTCAGCGATCTCCTTCCTCACGATGGCAAACCTGTCGTCGAACAGCTGCCTAATGGCGGGTGGTGGTGCTGTCGATGGCGGCGGGTCAAAATCGGCAGTTTCTTTGCGAAGTGTTGGCTGGTGCCCTTGTTCCTTGTCAGGGTCCTCGTTGGCGCCGGTCTGAGGCGGGTGGTGCAACGCTGAGTTGGTGGCGACGAGGCGCCTGCGGCGGCCGAAAGCCCCAGCGTGGCGATCTCACGGGAGCGGAGGTAGCCGCCACGCTTTCGGGCAGCCCCCCGTGCTCATGTTGGTGATCTGGCTCGACTTCGCGGGCTCCGCGGCCGCCATGGCACGAGGCGACCGGGCGCCACGCATGGCCGCCCGCCCTCCCGAGATTCCTCCGTTCTTTCTGACGGGACTGGGCGGCGAGGGTCCCCCCCGCCCCTTCTGACGGGACTGAAGCAGCGCCTCCTCCTCCTCCTCCTCCTCCTCCTCCTCCTCCTCCTCCTCCTCCTCATCCTCATCCTCATCCTCCTTCCCTTCCTCCTTTTCTGTTCCTCCTCCTCCCTTTCCCCCTCCTGCTCCACCTCCTCCTCCTCCCCTTCCCTCCCTGGATTGCCTCGCCTTGTTCTTCTCTCTCGTTGTTTATCTGCAGGTCGAGGTGCGGGAGGTCGTGAAGGACCGCGCGGGCTCCTGCGGGCCGGCGGCTCCGCTGCCTCGGGCACCTGCGGTAAAGTCGGCGGCCCGTGGCTGCCCCACCGGCGGTCTCCAGCCACCGGCGGCCGCCGGGGCCTCGCGAGGCTCCAGGCAAGATGCGCCGTGCAGATGTTGATGTCCGTGTATATACATGCGCTGCCTTTCCCCCGTGCTCCCCCACTTCCATCTTCCCCCCTCGTCCCCCTCTCCTTCCCGTCCCCGGCACTGCGCCGACCTGCTCACCCGCCACCTTTCGAAGCCAGCGCTCTGCGGTCGGGGTGCGGGGGCAAAATTCACGCACGGTCGGGGATTTGTGGGTAGCGTGTCGGTCGTCCGGTTCTGGCCCACCACGTTCCGGCGCGACGCGCTGTCCGCTTCCTGGCCCCCCAGCGTCAACGCCCCGAGCTGTTCCGAGCCCAACGCCTCGCGAAGCGCAGCGGCACGCCGTCCGCTCGCAGGCATAACATGCCGCTGGGGCCGCCGTGGCGACACGCTGTACAAAAGTTCCCGACCGTGGACAGTTCGGTTGGACCCAGGGCCAGGATCAATCGTTCAAGTTGAGCGATCTGGAGCTCTCTCAGAGCGTGCCGGAGCACCCTGGAACGGCCGCATCGCCCCATGCATCCTCCAGAGCCGCCGGGTCTCAGAGATCCCCGATTTGTCTTGGTCCGATCTTGTCCTGGTCCTGAGTCCTGACTTCGTCTCGACATTGATTGTTGGAGATCCGCGCGGATTTCTCGGGTCGTCGCTGGAACCCCCCTCCCGAAGCCGTCTTTGCACGAACGAAATGAGCACGGAAAGAATGGGTACAATGCCCAACAGCAGTTCCTGTTCATTTGGAACAGGACTCGCTGTCCGCGCCGCCGCGGCCTGTGTCCATTTGAGACGGAAGGCCCCCTGCCCAACAGCGGCCGCTGTTGGTTTGGGACAACATTTGCTGTTGGGCATTGTACCCATTTTTTCCGTACCCATTTCGGGCGTCCAAACCCTCGGGCGGCGCCGGAGGCGCCGCCCCCTGCCCCGACCGAAGGAATCCACGCGGACTTCCAAAAGCTGATCGTTGCGTCGCCTCGTGTTTTCCAGAGGAGGGTCCCCGCAGCAGTTTTTGGCGGTTGGCGGTTGTCTCTGTAGCCAGCACTTCTGCGGCACGCGCGACAGGGTTCCTGAGGGAAAGGGGTCCTGAGGTTCTTCGCCAGCTTCGGATTCCCGTGGCCCGTCCCAGGCCATGCGAACGCACAGAAAAGTGATCTTGGCGAAGGACCCAACGGTATGCAGTTGTGAGTGCCGTCGTTGCAGGTATCGCCTTCGGGGGATCTTCTGATGGGGCCATGAGGCATGCGAAGGTGTGCCGATGTGGGGCGGGGCCGCCATGTGGGCGCTGCCATTGGTGCTTTAGGCGGAACGCACTGCGGGGCCGCGAAAAGTGTGAGGGGTGCGCCGCAGTGGGGTGGGGCCGCCACTGGGGCCTTCGGTTGAGCATCCGCTGGGGCAACGAAGCAGTTTGATGGGCAGGGGAAACGCATGCGAGTACAGCTGTGCAGCTCCCCATGAGGCCACGAAGCGTTGTGCTAGGTGGGGGGGAACCGCATGCGAGCACCGCCACTGGGGCCTTCGGTGGAGCTCCCTATGGGGCCATGAAACGCTGTACTGAGTGGGAGGTGACGCATGCGGGCAGTGCCACTGGGGCCTTCGGTGGAGCTCCGTATGGGGCCACGAGACGCTGTACTGGGTGGGTGTGACGCATGCGGGTGGTATCACTGGGGACTTCGATGGAGCTCCCTATGGGGCCACGAAACGCTGTACTGAGCGAGGGTGACGCATGCGGGCGGTACCACTGGGGACTTCGGTGGAGCTCCCTATGGGGCCACGAAACGCTATACTGGGTGGGTGTGACGCATGCGGGTGGTATCACTGGGGCCTTCGATGGAGCTCCCTATGGGGCCACGAAACGCTGTACTGGGTGGGCGGTGACGCAAGCGGGCGGTACCACTGGGGACTTCGGTGGAGCTCCCTATGGGGCCACGAGACGCTGTACTGGGTGGGGGGTGACGCATGCAGGTGGTAGCACTTGGGCCGTCGGTGGAGCTCCGTATGGGGCCACGAGACGCTGTACTGAGTGGGAGGTGACGCATGCGGGCAGTGCCACTGAGGCCTTCGGTGGAGCTCCGTATGGGGCCACGAGACGCTGTACTGGGTGGGTGTCACGCATGCGGGTGGTAGAGCTCCCTATGGGGCCACGAAACGCTGTACTGAGCGAGGATGACGCATGCGGGCGGTACCACTGGGGACTTCGGTGGAGCTCCCTATGGGGCCACGAAACGCTGTACTGGGTGGGGGTGACGCATGCTGGCGGTAGCACTTGGGCCTTCGGTGGAGCTCCCTATGGGGCCACGAAACGTGGGAGGGGTGTGCTGAAACGGGTGATGACGATGATGATGGGTGAGGGAGGAGGGGAGGAGGAGGAAGGAAGGAAGGAGGAGAACGCGGGCGCTGTCTCTTCAAAACGCGGACCCACCACCAGAGGATGGTTGATAATAAAGCTATATGAAAAGGTGCTCCTGGGGGAAGCCCCCTGGGCCAGGACCCGTTTCGCTCAGGACCCCGTTTCCTTCATGCTGGCGGGGGTGCGAAGTGCAGCGGGGTAGAGTGGGCCGATGATCCATAGAACATTCGGCTGCGAGCCTATGCGGAAGTGAGAAGGAGCACGCCTTCTCGGAAGACGGCGGGGCTTCTCAGAAGCCCTCTTGCCTTCTGAGAAGTTTTCTGCGTCTTCGGCGAAGGCTTAGAAAATGTGTCAGAAGGCCCGAGACCTTCCAAGGCTTCTGAGAAGGCCCGCCTCCTCTCACTTCCCCCGGGGCTCGCCGCCAAATCATGGTCTGGCCCAGTGCAGGTTTGCCTCTGTCAATCTCCGCTAGTAACGTGGGAGCCCCGGGCGGCTCCCTGTGCACAGGGCTCCACATGCCAAGGGGCGCCTGCGGATAAACACGGGTTAGCACTGATACGATCGTCGAGTGGAGGTGCAGGCAGTCCCAGCATGCAGCTCAATTTGCAGGTGTCGAAGGAATGCACGGTTTAAGGGGATGGATCTGGATAGCTTCATGCGGGATCTCATCGGGAACGGACCTTGGGCGAGCAGAGCGGCCTGCCGGCCGTCCCTCCGAAAGTCGCAGGCTGGGGGCCCCCCTGGCAGAAGGTCCTTCCCCCCTTTGGCGCAGGCAGGCACCGGGAGCTGGCTGCAGGTGGCGTGGCCGGACGGGGCGCTCTGGAGGCACGGGCGGCCGCACGTCCTTCCGAAGCGCGCGGCCCCGCGCGCCGCACGCGGAGCGGGCCCCGCATGCTCCCAGCACCCCGGGGTTGCCAGCCAGCCGCGGTGCGGCCGGCCGGGCTCGGCGGCGCTCTCCCCCCGAGGAGGTGGCGGTCGTGCAGGTCCAGACCGTGGAGAGGATCCAGGATCGGGCCGGACGAAAGGGGGGGATTGGGAAAGGAGGGGGTACAACATTTGCTGCATGCAGTTGGTTTCGGCCCCGCCGAGGGGCCCATTCCTCGATACATGGCCGCCTCCGGCGCCGGGAGGCGCCGGGAAAATCAGCTACGTGAGCTGATTCTCAAACCCCCCCTTTGCTATCCCCCCCTTTCGCCCGACCCGACAGGAGGTGCCCCAGATCCAGGTCCAGGAGGTGATCCGGGAGGTGCCCACGGTGCAGGAGGTCGAGGCGACCGTCGCCACGTCCCTCGCCCTGCGCTCTATATTTCTGGTTCCCGGAAAGGGCGCCAGCCCAGGGATCTCTTTTAGTAGGAGGACCTAGTACCGGGCCTCGACTTGCGCAGGGCCAGCGAATGCATTCTGCGATTAATATCGAGGTCGCGTAGGGCCAGCGAATCAAAAAGTTGAGCATCTCCCAAAGGAAAGACCGATTTGTTTGTGATTCCGATCCATAAAACACATGGTTAAATAAACATGTTCGTTTGTTGCCGATGTCTCGAGCGACGCGCGTGTTTTGCAGAAAATGTTGAGGACGTTTGGAGCGAAACGCTTGTTTTGTGCTATAGTTTGTTCCTCTCCTGGGAACTAGAACTCAGAGGATGTCTCAGGTGAAATGCTTGTTTTCACGTGCCCAGGTCCTGAGAATGTCTCGAGCGAGACGCTTGGTTTCACGCGTCCAGGTTACCCAGGCAGACGTCCAGCAGGAGGATGTGTTGAGGATGTCTCAAGCGAGACGCTTGTTTTCACGCGTCCAGGTCGCACAGGCAGATGTCTAGCATGAGGATTTGTTGGGGATGTCTGGAACGAGACGCTTGTTTTCACGTGTCCAGGTCGCCCAGGCGGATATCTAGCGTGAGGATGTGTTGAGGATGTGTTGAGCGAGACGCTTGTTTTCACGTCTCCAGGTCGCCCAGGCGGATGTCGAACGTGAGGATTTGGGCAGGATGTCGCGAGCAAGACGCTTGTCTTCACGTGTCCAGGTCGCCCAGGCGGATGTCTAACATGAAGATATGTTGAGGACGTCTTTCGAGCGAACCGCTTGTTTTCACTTGTCCAGGTCGCCCAGGCAGATGTCTAGCATGAGGATGTGTTGAGGACGTGTTGAGCGAAACGCTTAGTTTCACATGTCCTGGTCGCCCAGGCGGATGTCTAAAGTGAGGAGTTGGGCAGGATGTCTTGAGCGAAACGTTGGTCTTCACGTGTCCAGGTTGCCCAGGCAGACGTCTAGCATGATGAGGTGTTGAGCGAGTCTCGAGCGAGACGCTTGGTTTCACGTGTCCAGGTCGCCCAGGCGGATGTCTAACATGAGGATGTGTTGAGGATGTTTCGAGCGAGACGCTTGTTTTCACGTGTCCAGGTCGCCCAGGCGGATGTCTGACATGAGAATTTGTTCAGAATGTCGTAAGCGAAATGCTGGTCGCAGTAGAGTGCATCGCAGTCCAACCCCGCCCGCCCGTGCGGCATCCCCTCGCGCGCTGGCGGGTCCCCTGGCGTCCCTTGCGACGCTCTGGCGTGACGTGCCCTGGCACGTCCTCTAGCACGCCACTCGACGTGGCACGTTCCCTGGCTCTTCCTCTGTCGGGTTCCCTGACTCGTCCCCAGGCGTTTCCCCTGCTCGCTCCGTGGCGCGCTCTTTTGCAAGGCCCCTTGGCATGACGTCCTTTGGCCGCCCCATGGCACGCGCCTTGGCACGTCCCCTCGGCAGGTCCCTGACAGGTCCAGGGCACGTCCACGGATGCGTCCCCTGACACGCCCCCTGATCGCATCCCCTTAGTGCGCCACTGGCAATGCCTGTGGCGCGTCCGTGCGCCTGTTCGCGCCTGTTCCCCGTGCCGTGTCGCTCCTTCTCGGAGCCGAGTCGGATTTTGAGGCCGAGTTGCTTGAACGTCCCGCACGTCTCCACTTCCAACCGGCCCTGGGGCAGCCACTATGTGTTCGGGCAGCTCGAGCTTGAGATCCAGATCAGTTCGGTCAGGACGCGGATGCAAAGGAACACTCGATCCGAAGCGCAAAAGAGCACAATCGCGGGATGGCGCATCGCAATTCAGCACGGCGCAGCGTAGCACAGCCTTTGGCACGGCACATCAAGATGGATACATTCAGCATTGCAATTGCCCGTCGCTCAATCAGGTGTTTTGAAAACGTTACCATGCCTCACATTCCTATATTATTTTCTGGGTTCGTGGGTCGATCATGTTTGTTTTGCTCTCTCTCTCTCTCTCTCTGTCTTTCGAAATCCACAAACAGAAGGTTTCGGACGCCTGTGGACGATTTTTCTGGCGGCGCCGAGGGCGGCTCCGAGAAAGCCGCGCTGCGCCGCGGCTGTGGGCAGCGGGCCTGGGGAGGGGTTCCGGCACTGGCGGAGAGGCTGTCCGCAGAGGTTCCGGAGCTTTCTGCCCGTGTGTTTCGCTGGTGCTCTGATTGCTGCCCTCCCTCCTCTCGGCCACGCGCAGAGAGGGGTAGGGGGAGGGGGGAAGGCTTCTTACACCCCTTCTTCTCAGAGAGTGCAGGCCTTGTCTGTAGATGTAGGGCCGGCGCCTTCTAAAAAAGGAGCTGCCTTCCATGAAGCGTTCCCCCCTCCCCCTACCCCCTTGTGCGTGCCCCCCCTCCAGGAGTTAACGGGCGAAGAACGGTATGAAATAAACGTTTTCGCTGTCGGGGGCGCCTGCCCCTGGGCGGCTGGAAAGTTTATACCCCTACGGTGGCACCGTAGGGGTATAAACGTTTCCAGCCGCCCAGGGGCAGGCGCCCCCGACAGCGAAAAGGTTTATTTTTCATACCGTTCTTCGCTCGCTGAAGGAGGGCAGCGTTAGGGGGGGATAGGCTCAGGGGGGGGAAGCATCGACCCCCAGTCGCCGATAGGGGGCCCGATGGCCCGCCCCGCCCAGGGCCGTGCGGGCTCGCCATCGGGGGCCTGCCGCCGACGTGTCGGCGAAGTGTCGCCGATGCCAGGTCCGTGTGTCCTCCCCTGAGCCCCTCCTCCTCCTCCTCCCACCTCCTCCTCCTCCTCTCCTCCTCCTCCTCCTCCTCCTCCCTCCTCCTCCTCCTCCCTCCTGCCTCCTCCTCCTCCTCCTCCTCCTCCTCCCCCTCCCCTCCCCCTCCTCCTCCTCCCTCCCTCCTCCTCCTCCTCCTCCTCCTCCTCCTCCTCCTCCTCCTCCTCCTCCCCCAACGGTGCCCCTCACCCTCTCCCCCCAAGAGGTCCTGAGAGCGGCGCGCCCCCCTCCGCGTCCTGACGATTTGCATCCACGACTGGTCCGCGAGCTGATGTTTTGTCATGTGGCTTTCCCATCCGAACGTTCCCGCTGCAGCGTGGGCATAATGTGAAGTCGGGCCTGTCCCTCTACAGGGGGAATATTCAAAAATAGGTAAAGAAAGTAGTCTGGGGACCATTTGGTGAGCATGTTTAGGCATCGGTTGAGCATTTTCTGCGTGTTTGTAATTTTTCGCCCAAATTCCCCCTTGTAAGGGGACAGGCCCGACGTAAGTATAATGTTGGGATCGGGGCTTTACTCCCGTCGTTCAGGGTGGCGCTCTCTCGCCCTGGTGCGGGCCGCGCTTCTGGATCCGAGTTCTTCCTAACCGTTGCAGCCCCCCCCTCCTTTCCCCTCCCCTTGGCATCGCTCGGGCGTGTGCACTTTTCTTCGGCGAGGGCCATCGAGGAGCATCCTTGATCATTTGGCGAAAAAACCACGCACGAAACCGAAAAAAGCACAGGGAATGGACGTCCGAGCGATGGCCAGCCGCCTGTCCCTGATCCTCCTGCTCTTCCCGCTCCTTCCACTCCAGTCCTTACTGCGGCTGCTCGACCTCGTCCTCCTCCTTGCTCCTCCTCCCTGTCCTTCTGGTCATTATCCTGCTCATCCGCCACCTCATCCTCCTATGCATGCATATCACCCCTTTCCGATTGCAGGTCGCGCAACCGCGGACACAGAAAAAGACGCGCAATCGGAAGGGATGGGTGGGGGGTAGGATGTCGGATATGGCACGAGTGGACCCAGCTTGCCATCCCACCCCTCTTCTCACCTCCCCCCCTCCCCGTCCCTCTCCCCCCCTTCCCCACCCCCTCACCTCCTCCCCTCCCCGTCACCTCGTCCCCCACCTCTGTACACGGCTCCCCTTTCTGCTTGCGCAAAATGCAATTGGATAAGTTGGGGGGTTCCAGGTCCGCTATGGCACCCGTCTGCATATTCCCTTATTAATCCATAACTCTGCGACCACCACCCCCTTCGAAAGGTGACGTACGGGATCCTCGGTCCGGGGGGCTTTGTGGACGCCCGTGCAGAGAGTCTCCCAGGACTTCGGGCCTCCTGAACGTCCCTGCGAGGCCACGCCAGCGAGCGCAAAGCGGTCAGGAGGGCGCTCAAGGTGCATGCACACGACACGAGGTTTACTCTGTACTGTCGCAGGTTCAATCACAGCTTGAGTATTTCTGAAGCCATGCTTACCAGCCGGAGCAACAACTATGAATACAATGCAGAGAACAATCGAAAATGAACAATCCTACCGAATACAGACGGATGCGCGCACGCGATTGCCTGTGTGCTCAATCGTCTGGCTCAAATTTTTCTTTTCCCCTCCTCCTCCTCTCTCCTGTCTCACGCGGTGCTGGATTTAATGATTAAACCGCTTGGGCCATGCAGCAAGGGCGATATCACATTTTCTATCGGACATACCGCCATTTGACACGGAGTGCAAGTGCATACATTCGAGCATTCGGTGAAGAAACCTCCTCACGAAAAGTTCGGCCGGCGTTTCTTATCCAATGTTCTGGAAAGTTGGCAGTGTTTCTTGAGCACGTTCGCCCTTCCAGCATGAATGACAGAAAGTGGCCCAAGTTTGTTTCAAGAAATGTCTGGGAAGCTGGACCAGAGTCTGTAAATTTTGATTGTCTTGATCATGTGTTCGGGTGTATTAGTGTGCTACGTCGCGGGCGTCCTCTCAGTTTTCCCCCTTCTCCTCCTCCTCATCCTCAATTGTGCTGAAAGGAAGCCCCAATGCAGCCCAACAGGCCCCAAGATGACCCCAACAAAAACATAGAACAGCCTCTAGACGGCCCCAAGACATCCCCCAAAACATTCCAAATCGGGACCTGGTCGTTGAGGGAAAACGCGAGGGAAACCAAGAAGCCCCCAGAGGCCCCCAAAAGATGTTCCGGAGGCCACCAGAGGTCCCCAACAAGCCCGAATAAGTTCTCGAGGGGCCCCCAAGAACCCCCTCAAGGACGGACCTCCGCAAAGACGAGGATGGGTCCACAAAAAATGAAGACGGGGAAGGGTTCGCAGAGAATGGCGAGAACGGGGAAAGAAAAGGAAAGACAAAAAGAAAAGGAAACGGACGATAAGAAGGATAACGACAGCGCGAAAATTGAGATAGGACAGATCATCCCGTTCCCTTTTTCTCTCGTCGCTCGCTCGCTATGTCTCATGCCTCCCGTGCGAACTTGGGAGACCAGGATGCAGGGCGCGAAGCGCCAATGCAGTCTTGCGTATGCATAGAATTAAACATAGATACAGGTAGGCAGACCGACGAACAGAAAGGCAGACAGGCAGAGAGGCATCGATCTCCCCAGACACTTCTTACACTTACAGTCGGGGCCCGAGGAAGGAACCCTTTTCGTTGGGGAGGGGCTCGGTGTTCCTTGAGTGTTTCACAGCTTGCCTCAGGTTTTCCTTTTGTCTTCGGTAGCAAATCGAAGGTTAGCTTATGGAGAAAAGGGGCCTCGTTCCTTATTTAGGGTTCCTTAGGTCAAGGCCCCGACTGTATGAGGGCTCCTGCTTCTTCTCTTGGGGCGTGGGCGGCAGCCTGGCGGCTCCGTGCTCTGCGCCGCCGTCCCGTCGCCACCTCGTCGCCGCCCGTCGTCTGGGCCTGGGTGGCGGTCTGGCGGCTCCGCGGTCGCCCGCCGCCGCCTCGCCACCGCCCCGTCGCCGCCTAAGTTGTAAAATGTAGCTCTAAGGGAGAGCCTGGTCTACTCTGTAAGAACGGTTTTTTGAAGGCAGATCTGCCTTGTAAGAACGGTTTTTTGAAGGCAGACTTGCCTTCAAAAAATTGGTCTACTCTGTAAGAACGGTTTTTTGAAGGCAGATCTGCCTTCAAAAAACCGTTCTTACAGAATGGATCTGTCTGCCGCCCCCCCCACCCCCCCAGGGATTGGCCGCCCCCCCTGGGGCTGGGGCTGTGCAGCTCACGAACGAGTATGCCATGAGGTGTTGTTGGGTCTTCGTTCTGAAGAGACGGCGCCCTGAGTCCCACTCCTCTCCTCCTCCGCCTCCTCCTTCTCCTCCCTCCTCCTCCTCCCTCCTCCCTCCCATATTGGCACTACCTAACGTGCCTTTCGCGCGCGCGTGTCGAAATCATTCGAACGCCCGTGCGCGCGTGCTGGGAGGCACGATCCTTGTCAACTGAGCCTTCTCAAATAGTCTTATTCGAACACCCATGCGCGTCGACCGCGCGCGCATGTCGAAATCTTTCCAAACACATACATCACCGACGCGAGGACACCATCATCATCAGCATCATCATCATCATCATCATCATCATCATCAGCATCATCATCATCATCATCGGCGTGATCAGCATCGACGCTGTCATTGCCCGGCCGTCGTCATTTCACCATCGCCGCCAGCATCGCTACTATCATCATCGTGTCTGCCGTTGTCGACGTCGCCATCACACTGCGCCCGCCCGAGTTACCGATTCGCACTGGTGTGCCCGCGCGTCAGCGCGGTCTGCGAGACGCGCTGTGAAGGTTGCAGCGGTCAGCGACACCGCGGCCGCGTCGGTCGCGCCAGACCAGCTGGCCGCTCAGCGCGCGAGCCCGCGCGCGGTAGCGCGGCCGCAGCGAAGCATTAGCCAGCGCTAAGCAGTCATCGCAATCGCCTCCGCATGGGTTTTGCCGACCAAGTTGCGGGCGGGTCGGTGCGATGGTTGCGCGAGCATGGGAGGTGGTCGCGCGCGTGGAATTCAAAATCAAGTGTGCAACTTCGGTTGCACAACATAGATCTGCTTTTCTTTAAAAGAAGTAGGATCCACCACCACCACCACCCCGGCTTTATCGGTACACCTTTTTGTTTTGCAATTTGAATATGATTCTGCCCCATCGTCCATCCTAAGTATGAACTCGTACCAACCCAGCCCAGCCAGTACCGATCCCCCTGCCACCCTCTGCAAAAAGAGTAGGCGCGCTCTCGTTTATCAAACAACTATTAGTTGTCATGAATCCGTTGCCAAAGAATGACACGACGGACACACGCGCGCGTCGTCGCGCGCGCATGCCGAAATATTTCAAAAACCTTCGGTGTCGGAAGGATTTCGAAATCGAATGTCCAATATATTTATATGTATATATATATATATATACACATGCATATACATATACAAGAACACCGGGTTTCGCAACGCGTTAAATATAACAGAGAAGAAATAAACGCGCGCCCGTGCGAATTCTTAAGGAAACCCAAGATCTTTCAACACAAAAAACTACCAAACGGGCTTCGCGCGCGCGCATATCGAAATCGTTCGAACGCCTTGGCGCGCGTGCCGTTTCGAGAATCCTATACAAAAAACAAGGTGATGTGCAAGCGCGCGCGACGTCGAGCGCGCGTGCCGAAATTGTTCAAAAACCTTCGGTGTCGTAACGACGTCAAAACCGAATGCCCCAAAACATTCAACACACACATGGTTTCGCAACATCAGTTTCCCAAAAGAGCTTGCGCGCCCGCTATTGCGAATTCTCAAGAAACTATAGGTTGTTCAGCATGTTCATGGAATTTTGCCAAGCGTGCCTCTGGCGCCGCACGCCGACATCATTCGCACGCCCTTGCGCGCGTGTTGTGGGGGGGGCACGATCCGCGTCAAATAAAACCACGCGGGCCACTTTCGCGCGTCTGCCGCGGCCGCATGTCGAATTCTCTCCAAAACCTCCATCACCGACGCGAGGACGCCATCATCGTCGCCGGCGCGATCAACATCGGCGCCCGCGCTGACCGCACCGTCGTCGGTGCGAACATCGTCACCAGCATCGCCGCTATCATCATCGCATCTACCGCAGTCGGCGTCGCCATGGCACCGCGCCCGCCCAAGTCGCCGATTCGCGGCCGCGTCGGTGGCGCCAAACTAGCCGGCCACTGCGCGCGCTAGGGTTGGTGCGGCCGCAGAGATGCACCAGCCAACGCCACGCACGCATCGCAATCGCCACCGCATGGGTTTTGCAAACCAACTTGCGGGTGGGTGGGCGGGATGTTTGCAAGAGCATGGGATGCGTCAAGTCACGGGTAAAAATCATTCGCACCGCATTGCACCACGTCGACTCTCCCCCCTAAAAAAGAATTCGGATCCGCACCCCGCACCCCTGGCTTTATCGGCCCACCTGTTCGCATTGATATTCACATGTGATTCGGCCCTATCGTCCATCCTAAATAGGAATCCATACCATCCCAGCCCAGCCAGTATCGACCCCCCCCCGCCATCCTGCGGAAAAATATTATGCGTGCGCACTCGTCTATCCAAAACTGCTAGCTGTCATGAATATGTTGCCAAAAATGCGACGAAGTGCACACGCGCGCGTCGTCGCGCGCGCATGCCGAAATGTTTTCAGAAGCCTCTGGTTTCGCAAGGATGTCAAAACCGATTGTCAAAAAAAAACACTCAACACACACATGGCTTCGCAACGCGGATTTTCGCAACTCATGCGAATTATTCCGGAAATTTTCGGTTTAGCAGTGTTTCCAGAAAGTACGACCAAACGGGTTTCGCGTGCGCAGGCCGAAATCAGTCAAACGCCTTTGCACGCACGCGCGCGTCGCCGCGCGCGCATGCCGAAACTTCAAAAAAACCTTCGGTTTCGTAACCATTTCAAAACCGAGTGCCCAAAAACCATTCAACAACACACGGTCTCGCAACAGCAGTTTTTCAAACATGCTCCCGCGCGCGCTCTTGCAAATTCGTTAGAAAACCATCGGTTGTTGAACATTTCCATGGAATTCTGCCAGGCGGGCCTCGGGCGCCGCATGCCGACATCATTATCACGCCTTTGCGCGCGTGTTGGGGGGGTACGACCCGCGTCAAATAAAACCACGCGCGCGTCGGCCGCGGGCGCATGTCGAATTGTTTTCAAAACTTCCATCACCGACGCGAGGACGCCGTCATCGTCGTTGGCGCGATCAGCATCGGTGCCCGCACAGGCCGCGCCTTCGTCGGCGCGAACATCGTTACCAGCATCGCCGCTATCATCATCGCGTTTACCGCAATCGGCGTCGCCATGGTACCGCGCCCGCCCAAGTCTCCGACTCGTAGCGGAACGCCCGCTGAGATGCGCCCAGCGGTCAGCGCCACCGCGGCCGCGTCAGTGGCGCCAAACTAATTGGCCGCTGTGCGCGCGTGCCGTGCCGGGGTTGGCGCGGCCGCAGATATGCACCAGCCAACGCCACCCATGCATCGCAGTCGCCACCGCTTGGATTGCGCAAACCAAGTTGCGGGTGGGTGGGTGGGATGTTTGCAAGAGCATGGGATGTGCCAACCCGTGAGTGAAAAAGAATTGTCTGTTATTATCATTTCTGCACCTTTTTAAGAATATAAAAAATGCGCGCGCACTCGTTTATCAAAAACCATCAGTTTTCAAGAGTCCATTGCAAAAAATGAGACGAAGTGCGCACGCGCGCGCCGTCACACGCGCATGCCGAAATCCGTCAAAAACCATCGGTTTCGGAAGGATGTCGAAATCGAGTGCCCCAAAAAAATGTACATATTTACAATATAAGCAAATACGCCGAGCCCCCTCCCGGGGCGTCCTCCACCACATCTCGCGCACGCCCCCGGCACCGCGCTTCCCGACTTTCCGGGGAGCCCCACAAATTGTCAGTGCCCAAAGACAGCCCAAGACGACCCTAAGAAGCCCCCAGAACGCAGAATAAAAGCCCAAGACTCCCCCAAGCAACCCAGGATAGCTTTGGGGTGGCTCTCCAGGCTCCCAGGAGGCCTCCAAGAGACATCAAGAGAGCTCCGAGAGGCCTCCCGAGAGCGCCCGGAGAACCTAAAATCGTTAAGTTTCTTTGTTTTTGTCGTTTTTGTTTTTGGCCTTCTCACCACTTCATGCCTCCAACGCTCCAAGACGGCCGGAGAGGCCCCCAAGATCCTTCTCGGCCCCTTCCGAACCCGGAGGTGATCAAGCAGGTGTTCGTCCCGCAGGTTCAGGAGGTGATCAAGATTGTCCACGTGCCGCAGGTCCAAACCGTTGAGAGGATCGTCGAAGTTCCGATGGTCCGACGCATCCAGAGGGACGTGGAGGTGCCGCAAATCGAGACGCGCGAAGTCATCAAGCAGGTGTACAAGCAAGAAATGCGCGAGGTTATCAGAGAGGTCCCGAAGATACAGGTGCAGACTGTCGAGAAGATCGTGGAGGTTCCACAGGTCCAGCATCAAGAGAGGATCGTCGAAGTCGTAGAGGAACAGGTAGAAGAAGTGATCAAACAGGTGCCAATGACGGTCGTGCAGGAGGTCGTGAGAGAGGTTCCGCGGATCCAGGTACAGAAGGTGGAGAAGATCGTGAGCGTGCCTCAGGCTGGAAATGCTAGCGATGGGCGTGCTCAATTCAGAATTCCTTGTGGTGATTGATGCATCTGTGACGCCGTCGCCACCGCCGCCCCTGCTACAGATCACGCCTCCGCCCTCCCTCAATGCCCAATCCCTTAATTGTGTTACCACCACTCCCCACCCTGCCGCCTTCTCTCTCTCCTCTTTCTCTCTTTCTCTCTTTCTCTCTCTGTCCTTCCCTCCCTCCGTCCCTTCCTGTCCCTGCCCTCCGCTGCGCGCCCTTTCCTTTCACGACCTTCCCTCCGCGCTTCCGTCCCGTCCGGCCCTTCCTTGTTCGGAAACGACATTGGAGCTTAGAGAGGGCCCGGGGGCCACAAGGATCGACCCGATCACCCCGACGCCACCCGCCCACACCACCCACCCAGTGGGCCGGTTTCGTTCTCCACTTCCCGACGCATCGTTCACAGTTCGTCTTCATTCTTCCTCCTTCCTTTTTTTTCCTCCTCTTCCTCTTCCTCCTCCCCCCTCCTCCTCCTCAACCTTCGCTCAACATCATGAATCCTCATTCCTCATCCCATTTACGTCCTCCCGCTGATATTCTCATTCATCATGCCTCTCATCAATGTTTCGCCTCGTATCCTCTCTCCCCCCTCCCCTCCCCCATCCTCCCTTAAACGCCTCCCTGTCACCCATTCCTCTCCCCTATCCCGCCATTCCTCCCCACCCCCTTGTCATCCATACTACGAGCACGCTCGCCAATGATTTGAATAATGCAGCCACGAATATTACGACTACGATGATTACGCCTACAACGAGTAATAGTAGTAGTAATCGTAGTAGCAGTAGTAGTCGTAGTCGCAGTCGCAGTCGTAGTCGTAGTCGCAGTCGTAGTCGTCGTCGAAGTAATAATAGCAATAATAAGGATACGCATAATAGAAGTAGTAGTAGTAGTAGTCGTCGTCGTCGTAGTCATCGTCGTCGTAATCGTAGTCGCAGTAGCAGCAGTAAAGGAAGAAGTAGAAGTAGTAGTAGTCGTCGTCGTCGTCGTAGTCGTAGTAGTAGTCGTAGTAGCAGTAGCAGCGGCAGTAGTAGCAGTAGCAGTAGCAGAAGCGGCAGCAGCCGAGGTAGCAGCAATAGCAGTAGTAGGAGCAGCAATTGTAGTAGTAGTAGTAGTAGTAGTAGTAGCAGTAGTAGTAGCAGTAGTAGACGCAGTAGTTGTAATGCTAGTAGTAGTAGTAGTAGTAGTAGTAGTAGTAGTAGTAGTAGTAGTAGTAGTAGTAGTAGTAGTAGTAATAGCAGTAGTAGTAGTAGTAGCAGTAGTAGTAGTAGTAGTGGTAGCAGTAGTAGTAGTAGGACTACTAGTATTAGTACTCGTACTAGTAGTAGTGGTAGTATAAGTATTCGTAGTCGTAGTCGTAGTAGTAGTAGTAGTAGCAGCAGTAGTAGTAGTAGTAATGTAGTAAGTAGTAGTAGTATAGTAGTAGTAGTAGTAGTAGTAGTAGTAGTAGTAGTAGTAGTAGTAGTAGTAGTAGTAGTAGTAGTAGTAGTAGTAGTAGTAGTAGTAATAGTAGTAGTAGTAGTAGTACTAGTACTAGTAGCCGTAGTAGTAGTAGTAGTAGTAGTAGTAGTAGCAGTAGTAGTAGTAGTAGTAGTAGTAGTAGTAGTACGAGTACGAGTACGAGTACGAGTAGTACAGTATAGCAGTACTGGTAGTACGACTACGACCACGACTACGACAACTACGAGAACTGTTACGGCTCTGGCTACGATTACGACTATTACCACGATTCCAGCAACGACTTTTCTATTACTACGATTGCTACTACTACTCCTACTACTACTACTATTACCATTGCTACTAGTACTACTACTACTACTACTACTACTACTACTACTACTACTACTACTACTACGACTAGTACTACGGCTAGTACGACGACTATTAGTATCATTACTACGAATACTATTACTACTACTACTACTCCTACTACTACTACTACTACTACTACTGACACTAGACTACGACCGCTGCGACTACTGTTACTACTACTACTACTACTACCACTACTACTACTACTACTACTACTCCTACTACTACTACTACTACTACTACTACTACTACGACGACGACTATTACTACTAATACTGATAATAATACCGCCACTACTCGTGATGTGATTCACACGACTACTTATACTACTACTACTACTACTACTACTACTACTACTACTACGACTCCTACTACTGACTACTACTATTACTACGACTACCTGTGCTGATAGTACCATTATAACTACGACTATTATTACTACTACTACTACTACTACTACTCCTACTACGACTACTACTACTAGTATTACTACTACTACTACTACTACTACTACTACTACTACTACTACTACTACTACTACTACTTCTACTAGTACCACTACTACTACTACTACGATTACTACTACTGCTACCACTACTACTACTACTACTACTACTACTACTACTACGACTACTATTACGACAAGGACAAATATTGGCACTACGACCACCACGACTACTACCACTACTACTACTACTACTACTACTACTTCTACTACTACTACTACTACTACTACTACTAGTAGTACTACTACTACGACTACTACTACGACTACTACTACTACTACTACTTACTACTACTACTACTATTACTACTACTACTACTACTACTACTACTACTACTACTACTACTACTACTACTACTACTACTACTACTACTACGACTACTACTACTACTACTACTACTACGACTACTACTACTACTACTACTACTACTACTACTACTACTAGTACTACACTTACTACTACTACTACTACTAACTACTACTACTACTACTACTACTACTACTACTACGGACTACTACTACTACTACGACTACACCACCACCCTACTATTACTACTACTACTACTCTACTACTACTACTACTACTACTACTACTACTACTACTACTACTACTACTACTACTACGGTTCCTACAACTACTCCCGCTACTACGACTGCTTCTACTACTACTACTACTACTACTACTACTACTACGACTACTACTACTACTACTAGTACTACTAATACTACTACTACCCATTAATACTACCACTACTACGACTGCTACTATTACTACTACTACTACTACTACTACTACTGCTACTACTACTACTACTACTACTACTACTACTAGTACTACTACTACTACTACTACTACTACTACTACTACTACTATTACTATACTATACTACTACTACTACTACTACTATACTACTACTACTACGACGACGACTGCTACTACGAATACTACTACTACTACTACTACTACTACTACTACTACTACTACTACTACTACTACTACTACTACCACTACTACTACTACTACTACTACTACTACTACTACTACTACTACTACTACTACTACTACTACTACTACTACTACTACTACTACTACTACTACTACTACTACTACTACTACTACTACTACTACTACTACTACTACTACTACTACTACTACTACTACTACTACTACTACTACTACTACTACTACTACTACGTCTACTACTAGGACTACTACTATTCAAAGTATGACAGCACTATGTTCACTCTTTTTGCTCATCGATTATAAAGCAACATATTTTCCCCTCCTCGTCTTCTGCCTCCTCCTCGGTCTCAAGGATCCTCCCCCGCCAGTCTCCCCCATGCACCCCTCTCTCCCTACACATTCCCTCCTGCATCTCCCAAGTTGTCAGCATCATGATGCTCTTCATCTTCCCTCGCCACCCTCACTCCACGCCACCCCTCCTTGTTCGGCAGGTGCAGACCGTCGAGCGGGTGGTCGAGATCCCCCAGGTCAACACCGTGTGCCCCACCCCGGAAGAGGAGGAGGAGGAGAAGGACGGAGAGGAGGAAGGAGAGGAGGAGAGGAGGAGAGGTAGTGGCAGGGGCAGGAGGAGGAAGATGAGAAAGAGAGAGGACAGGGGGGAATGAGGAGAAGGAAGGAAGGAAAGCGGAGTTGGAAGGAGGAAGGAGGAAGGAGGGAGGTGCACAAGGAGGAGGGGGTGACTGGAGGAAGTAGGGAAGCGTAGATGGATGAGGGAGGAAGAAGGACGAGGATGGCGGGTGATGAGGAGGAGGAGGGAGAAGGCGGGAGAGAAGGTGGAAGGGGGGAGGAGGAGGAGAAGAAGGAGAAAGAGAAGGAGGAGGTGGAGGAGGAGGCTGCATTTGTACACGCACGTAAATTGAATGGGTGCGGGCTGGCTTGGGGCTGTTTGAGGAGATCGTACATGGAGGATCTGGAACGGCCACTATAGGTTCAAGAGGGTTCTACACGGTGTGGGGGGAATGCGGAGAAGGAGGAGGAGGAGAGCACAACCGAAGCCGGTAGTAATTTTGTAGTGCCTTATCACAGCTATACTTACGTCATTGAATACCCGACTCACCCTTAACAACATGCCCTAGAGATTGGAGTTGTTAGCACGACGCCACCGCAATTGATTAGTCGTGGGTTTCCAGGGGTATTGCATCCTGCTCTTGCGTTACTGAGGTATCATTACGGTTTTGCTGGTTCTGCGCCGTCTATATCATATGTTCTTTCGCATGGTACTGTGATCCTAGGTGATTGCATCATTGCTGCTATTCCTCACTCTCCTCAGATTATTATCCCTCCCTCTCAACCGCCTTCCTCGCCGTCCTCCACGGAAGAGCGGTGTAGTGTCCGCCGTGGCATCGTTCTTTTCTTCGCTCATCCTATTGCCCTTGATTCATAGTTACTCCTCATCCCTTAGTTTGCCCTTGCTTCTCATCCCGTCCCTTCTCCTACTCAGCTTGCCCAGCCTTCCTCGTGCGCCCTGCACCTCGTCCTGCTCATCCATTCCACCCCCTATTCATCCGACCCTGCCTGGAAGGAAGACGCAGGAAGAGGAGGAGGAAAGAGAAGGAGGAGGAGGAGCAGCAGCAGCAGCAGCAGAGGGGGGAGGAGGAGGAGGGGGAGGATGGTCGTGGTCTGCACACGGGGCCGTCCGAAGGCGGCGCCCGAATGGGTTCTTCAGAGCCACACCCCCACCCATCCCTGGGCTGCAGTAGCAGCATCATCTCGCAAGGTTGCTGATGACGCCAGATCTGGCTACTCTTTTTCGCAATGTAGCTGCCTTGTAGCAAGCTTGCTTCGTAAGCCTGCGTCCCCCTACTGTTTGCGCATGTGCTGACCCCAGCACCGAAGCTAAAGTTCAGGGCTGTGCTTCGGCTGTCCCAGCGGGCTGATCCCAGCGTTATAGCTGATGAGCACCCGTTTCGCTGGGGCCTTCCTTTCCTGCCACGACCGTGATTGCACTAGTGCGCGCGTCGGCGCAACGACCCGAGCTCTCGAGAGCTTCTCTCCGGCTGCCATTGCATGCTGTTCGCAAGAACGTCTCTCACGATCTTCCCGCAGGCACCGACAGAGCTTGCTGCCATTGACACATTATCGCGCTGACAGTACTGGCTGCTACCGTGTCCTTCTCGCACGAGCTGATCTTTGCGTGGTAGTTGATGACCTTCTCCCACGAGCGCCCGTCTGGCACCGACATTCCTTGTTGCCACTGCTTGTCTTCTCGCACGAGCTGGTCCCTGCGTTGCAGCTGAAACCTGCTCCCACTAGCCCCCCGCATGGACCGAGACTGCTGCCTCTGCCTGCTCTCTCCCACTGCTAAAGCCCGCTGCCACTGCTTCCTTCTCGCACGAGCTGGTCCCTTCGTTGTCGTGGCATTGGCACTCGTTGCTGCATGTCTTCTCGCGCGAGCTGGTCCCTTCATTACGAGTTCGAACGCTCTCTCACTAGCCCATCTCCAGTGGCAACAACATTTCATGCCATTGCCTGCCGTCCAGCACGAGCGTCCCCCAACACTGTAGCTGATGATGCTCGGCTCTTGCTCTGCTTTTCTGGTCCCAACGTAATGCTCGAAGGGAGCCATATCTGCCGTGGCTCTCCCGTAAGGCTTGGGCAGAGCCTGGTGTCACGGCTTGCCCTCGCGCACGAGCGGATCTTTCCGTTGCAGCTGGGAAAAGGCATCCCACGAGCGTTCTGGTGGGTCTCGACCGTGCGTGCTGTCACTGCACGCCTTCTCGCATGAGCAGAACCCAGCACTGCAGCCGATGCTGCAGCTGCGTCGCGTTCGCCCCTGCACTGGCAGCAGCGCCGCGGCAGCGGCCGCCACTGCTCGCCAAGAGTCTAGAGGAGGGGGAGGGGGGGGAACACGAAGACGGGGACAGCAGCGGCTCTGGGCGGCTGCGCGCGCGTGGTCCCCACAGTGTAGTTGTCGACACTTGGCGGCACGCCGAATTCTGATTCGCGTGCTCAGTGCCTTCTCGGAGGGGGTGCAACACAGAGCCCACACATCCCCGCGTGTAAGGAGGGCCGCTCGGATGCGGAATGGCCGACGGGGCAGAGGGGGAGGAGGAAGCGGGGCCACGAGCACGAGCAGAAGCGCTCGGGCGCGATGAATACCCGCAGGAAGGAGAGGAGGAGGCGGAGGAAGAAGAGGAGGAGGAGAAGGAGGAGGAGGAATAAGAGGAAGAAGAGGAGGAGCGCAGGAGGACGAGGGGAAGAGGTTGGAGGAGGAGGAGGAGGAGGAGGAGGAGGAGGCGGGAGAGGATGAGGACGACGACGACGACGACGAAGACGAGCATGAAAATGATGGGGGGCCGTCAGTGTCCAGGGACGGCAGCAGCACAGGTACCTGCCGGCCGTGGAGCCAGCGACGGACCCGCTGCCGAGGGGCGCCGTGGTGGTCGGCGCGTCTGCCAGCAGCCCCCAGGCGCCTGGGGTGCAGCCCAGACCCGCAGCAAGCACGCAGCAGCGAGAAAAATCACGCCTCGCGGTCGCCAGCGGCGCTCGGTCGCCCTGGTGAAGAAGAGGATCAGCAAGGCAAGATGCCAAATGCATCGTTGATGTCACAGACGCGCCAGACGCGTGTTGGGGGCAGGGGGCGACGACGACGAGTGACGATAAAGGTTCGCCCCACGACGCAGTCAACACACAAAAGTACCCCAGCAGAGCACCCTGATGGCAGGCGGTCTCGGGCGCCCCGTCCCCTTTTCTTTTGTTTTTGTTCTTCTGTGTGTGTGTTACTCAGGAGGGACAGAAGCACACAGACACCATTAATCGTCGACTCCCAGGAAAATATGCAAAAATATAGGAAGCGGGGGGGAAGACAAGAACCCAGAAAATATAGGAAAGTATTGGGCATCTTTTTATCTGTGTGTGTGTATCTATTTGTGTGTCCTGGGGCCCCATTCAGTTCCTCTCGGGAACCTTTGACACAGCGTGTCGTTCCGCCGCTTCCTGCTCACCACGCCTTCGCGCGACGCGCTAACCCGCTCCCCAGCCCCGAGGCGTCAGCGCCCCCGAGCGTTTTTCGCGGCTTCCCGCCCCGGGGAGCGGAGCGGCACTCCTCAGGCCAAGAGCTCCCGACCTGAGCCGCAGGGCCGACACTTACCAGCCTGGAACCTATCCCTATCCATATGCTCGGCATCTCCTCGTCGCGATGCCAATCGGGATTCCCTTATTTGTTGAGGGCGCATCCCTAAGATTGTCATCGCCTTTTGGCGTGTCAGTCTTAGGGATAGGGAGAAGTTCGAGGCTGGTAAGACACGCCAAGCAGAAGTTCCCGACCGCAGCACCTCCTAGCGAAACGCGGTTTTAGGAAAGAGGAACATCGTCCTGTCCTTCCTTCATGGCAGCTCCTCTATCTCCGGCTCATGCGATCGCCACCCTTCCGGCACCGTGCTTTCCTGCTTGGGCTTGTGTTGCCTCGAGCACACGATGGGGCCGAAAGAGAGGAGGATGAAATCGACCGCGGCGTGATACCTGGAATCGGCCACAAACTGGTACCTCATGCACCCGCCCCTGAGCGATCAAAGCGAGGGCGGCGCCTAGAGACGATCTCGCTGCAGAAAAAGAGTGCCGGAATCGAACGGGCGCGTCGCCTAGCCAGCAGGCGAAGGAGGGGGAGGCAGAGGAGGCACAGGGAGAGCAGGAATAGGGGGAGACAGCGGAGGCAGGAAAGCGGGGGAGGCACCAGGAATCGCAGAAAGACCCGCCCCATTCCCTCCCCCCGGAGTTCAAATGAAGTCCTAAAAGTCCATGAGATCAATGTGGGGGCATTGGACGACCAGCATGGGAGCCAAAGCCCCGCTCACAGCCCAGAGGAGAGCATGCTACGCACAGAACGACTAGATGTACATTGAATGTCGATGAGGTGCGAGTTCCATGGGTCCCCGAAGCTTGTATTGAAAATCGGAGGCTATGATGCACTCTTGTAGTGATGGAGGCGATGCTGCATTCCCTTGATGGTGGCAGGGCGTATGGTGCCCTTCCGTGCCCACCCCGTACTGCTCACAGGGCCTTCGCACCGTCCCTTCTGGTGGGACGGTGGGTGAGCAGCCCGCCCCCCCTGACGCTGCACGTACTGCGCCAGGTTGGTGGGGATTGATTGATGTCAATGCGTACCGTCCCTTCCCACCCTTCCAGCAGGCGAGACAGCCGAGCAAACAGAGCAAGCAGAGCAAGCAAGCAAGCAGAGGAAGAGAGGGGCAGGGGCAGGGGGAGGAAAGGCCGACTCGAGGATGACGATGCCGATGCAGCCGAAGACGATGAAGTCCCAGGCTGCATCCTGCTCACTCTGTTGCCCCGGACATTTAGCACGAAGCCACAACCATATGAGAGAAGAAGGCGGACATCGACCCTATCGGGTTCACCACAGCGACCCAGAAGAGGGAGGAGTAGCAGAAGATGACGAAGAGGGAGAAGAAGAAGCAGGACATGCACCAAAGGAAGCACATAGCGAGGCCAACGAAGAAGAGCGTGAAATCCATTACATACTGCACGAAAGCGACAACGGACTGCGTGAAAGCGACCACAGATTGCGTGAAAACAAACACGTGCTGCGTGAAAGCGATCACAGATTGCCAGAAGTCTGCAACGAACTGCGCGAAATCGACCGCATACTGCGTGAAATCGACAACATACTGCGCGCAATCGACCACATGCTGCATGAAAACGACCGCATACTGCATGAAATCGACGACATATTGCGCGAAATCCATACACTGGCGCCTCAAGCACGCGGCGAGGCAAAAGAAGCACACAAGAAGGCCGACGAAGGAGCTTGAAATCGACCACATACTGCACGAAAGCGGCCACGGACTCCATGAAATCGACCACGGATTGCGTGAAATCGACCACATGCTGCGTGAAATCAACAACGCATTGCGTGAAATCGACCACAAAACTGCGCGAAAATAGCCGCAGACTGCGTGAAATCGACCACATACTTTGAGAAATCGGCCACATGGTGCGCAAACCGATCACAAATCCAAAGCCAGAGCGTGATTCTTCAGTTTGTGGACACGGCGCCGCAATACATTCTGAAGAAGTACCACGCGAGAGCGCGATTCTTGGATAAAGTATCGACGTCTCGCGCGAGAGCGCGAATCTGAAATACATTCTAAGGAAGTATCAGGCGGGAGCAGTTGTTGTGGTGGTTCGGGGCCACACAATCCATTCTGAGGCCCGAGATTTCCTCGTGTACAAAATAAGGTACGAGCCCCAGGAGGAGCATTTAAATAAATACAGTGGGCACCGGAGAGGGGGGATCAACAATGATCATTATTTAGAAGTGAAGTTCAAAAACACCGCTGCCCCTATGCCTCGCGAGCTGCGCCGAGCGCGCTGACTCCTCCTGTTCGCATCCCCCCGCCTGGACCCCCTCAACAAGCGGGACGCATGCCTAATTTGGTTCCATCTTGTCTCGCGATCTGCGTGGCGCATTCTACAATCATGGCGATGGATTGTTTTGCTACTCGTGAAACTGGCCCTTACAATCAGCATACATGTTATTCCTCTCCCCTTTGCCCAGGGTCCCGCCCGTTCAACGGGCGAGGTTTACATTTGCTTTATTTGCCCCCTTGCCTCGTGCGCGCTGATCCGCCACCCTGTTGCTGTCGTTGTCGTTCTTGTCGCCGTCGCCGTTGTCGGGGGGGGTTACTGGTCTCCCCATCATGTCTTTTGCCAGAGGAGGGGTGTTATTGGTTTCCTCTCCCCCCGTCTTCCCTGTCGTCACCCTGCCTCTTCCCCTGGAAGCGGGGGGAATCATAGGGCAGGTGTATGCCCGTCCGGATCCGCCAGGTAGTGCAGACAGAGCAGGGGGCGATGATCATGGAGCCAGTGGCCACGGGATTGCCGGGCGCTCGCGCGTGATTGCAGGCGTGAGCTCCAGGCTTGAGTGCTTTGCGCGCTTGCGAGGTCCGCAGGGACCGCGAAGGGGCCGCTCGAATGCTGAGCGCCTCCGCGAAGACTGGGGCCCGTGGCGAGCAATGAGCGCAAGGGGGGAGGAGGGAGCGGAAGGTTAGAAGCAGGAGGGCGAGAAGGAGGCTCAGCAACTGCAAGTTTTTCCCCTCCTCCTCCTCAGCCTCCTCTTCCTCTTCCTCAGGAGCGACAACATCGATGGCGCCTCCGCCCACGTGGCGCCGCCGTTGGTCCCCTCTCTCCTCGGAAGGGGACGATGAGGAGGAGCAGAATCACCATGGGCGAGAGGCAGAGGGCAGGGACAGGCGGATGAGGGGGGACCAGCACAAGCCCGGCAAGGAGCGTCATTGACACCGATGTTGCAACGCAGCCTTCCTTCACAGATCCCCTTTGTCGGAAGTCAGTCCAAGCGTTCTCTGCCATCACGGCGAGCGCTCTCTGGAGAGGCGAGGACCCCGCGGCCTTGCCGCAAGCTCAGGGCATGGGCAGGTTGGAGTGCTAATCCGCCTCTGGGTTAACATGGGATCGAGTCTCTTAAGGCCGGGAGACTCGGAACGTTGAGGCAGTCGCAGGATTGGAACGGTGCCCTATCGTCCTCACAATCGCATCAAGGATCGGATTAAGGTTCGACCGCCTGGCATGGCAAACCACAGTGATCTTCGGTGGAAATCACCCCTCATCCATGTTTCTGGCTGGAGCTTCAACATAAACCTACGCGGGGCCGAAGCAAGAGTCCGAGATTAAAGTGGAACCGCCCTCCACCGGTGCAAGTGACAGCAGTGTGGCGTAAGATGTTGGATCCGTCGAAGTGATGAAGTCTGAGGCGAGGACCCGATGTTGCAAAGGAGCCACCCCCATCTGCGCAGATGCTTGCCATGCCAAGCCTCAGGGCCATAAAGAGCCAGGAAGTCCCTAGCGAGACCATATGCAGTTGTGAATACCGCACTTGTGAAGATTGCTTTCAGTGAAACTCCCTGTGGAGCCACGCGACGTGTGAGGGGTTTGCCGAATTGGGCCTGGGGGCGCATGCGGGCGCTGCCATTGGGGCCTTCGGTGGAGCTCACTAAGGGGCCGAGAAACGTGAGAGGGATAGTGCCAGGATGGGCCTGGGGACGCATGCGGGCGCTGTCATTGGGGCCTTCGGTTGAGCTCCCTATGGGGCCACGAAGCGAGTGAGTGGTGTGCCGAGATGGGCCTGGGGACGCATGCGAGCTGTGCCACTGCGCATTCACGGAGCTCCTTCATCATGAGACAACGAAACGTGTGACCAGTGCGCCGAAACGGGTTGGGGGACCGCGTGCGGTACCCTCCTGGGGCCTCAGTTGGAGCTCCTTGTGGGGCCACAGGGCGTGTGAGAGGCGTGCCGAAACGGCTCGGGGACCGCCTGTGGTCCCGCCCGCATATGGAGCCACGAGACGCGTGACGGGTGTGCCGAAATCTTTTGGGGACCGCATGCGGTCCACCTCCCGTGCCTCAGTTGGAGCTTCCTGTGGGGCTGCGCAACGTGTAAAAGTGGTGTGCCGACAGAATGTGAAGGGCAGACGCAGTCATGGGAGAAAGGACATCCTCCTCCTCCTCCTCCTCCTCCTCCTCCTCCTCCTCCTCCTCCCCTCCTCCTCTTCCTCCTCCCTCCTCCTCCTCCTCCTCCTCCTCCTCCTCCTCCTCCTCCTCCTCCTCCTCCTCCTCCTCCTCCCCTCCTCATCCTCCTCCTCCTCCTCCTCCTCCTCCTCCTCCTCCTCCTCCTCCTCCTAGGAGGAAGGTGGCCGGCAGGTGAGATGAGGTAAGGCGGGGCATTGTCTCTTCAAAACGAGGGCCCAAAACCACAGGATGGTTGGGTACAAGAATTGTTGGCTGTGTTGTTCCATGTAAGTTTTTTGTTGGACCAGGAATGCCAGGCGAAACGACCAGATCGTTGGTGATGCGACACGGAGGAATTATTCGTAAGGGCAAGGGATTGCCAAGGAGGAGGAGGGAAGGGGGGAAGGGGGAGGGAGGACGAGGAGGTAAAAGGAGGGATTATGGGTACGGGGGAAAGGTGATGGTGGACGGAGGAGCTCGAGGAGCCCGATGAAGGATGCGGGAGCGCCGCAAATGCGTGTTTTTTTGTTGGCAGTCTGTTCCCTCAGTGGTCTGTCTGCCGAATTCGTGCATCCCAGTGGCTAGCATCCCGATGGTTTGCACCCTGGCAGTCGACATTACGACCAGCTGGGGACATCACTGTCCGAAGGCAAGCGGCCCTTCGTCCCTATTCAGTATCACCTCCATTCCTCTCGCCGTCCCTCCCCTACTCCCTCCCCTAGTCGCCCCTTCTCGCTCCATCTCCCCATCTATCCCCCAGATCCTCCATCCGCAAAGATTTCCCCTGCTTGTCCATCCTCTCGCCCCCTGCTTTCATGTATAATCCTAATTCGTTTCCCTTTTTCTCTTTGTCTTCATACTATTATTCATCCTCATTAAGCTCCTTCTTCGCCTGATCCTATTCCCCCGTCATGTTCCTCCTCCTCCTCCACCTCCTCCTCCTCCTCCTCCCTCTTATGTTCCTCTAGCTTCTCGTGTTCATCCCTCCTTCCTCCTTCGACACCTCGCCATCTTGCTCGTCGTCATTGTCGTCCTCCTGCTCTGGCACAGGAGAAAGGGAGCGAGGGGATAAGGGAGGGAGGAAGGGAATGAGGGAGGGCGTGGCCGCAGCAGCCGTGGCCCAGGAGAAGCGGACCCGGTACCCCCCCAGCGGGGGTGATTTTGCCCTTGTGGTACCCGAGACATTGGGCCGCCCGTCCGACGAAGCCGCAGAGTTCATCCGAGTTTATGGGTACAACGTCGATGACTTGAAGTGGCCCGGACCGAGGTGCTCGGCAGGGCGTGGCGGCAGCTACCCCGACAGCTCCAAAACGGCAACGCAGAGTTGGTGTTTAGCGCCAAAGGCTTGTGAGGCCCACACCTCACACCACGAAAACGACCACCACCACGGCGCCGCCCAAGCCGACCGCCACCACCACGGCAGTGACCCCGCAGCAACGGCGGACAGAACCGCCTTGACGGCGACGTTTGCGCTGGTCTGGCGGCATGGCGACGCGCCTCCTCGACAACCACGACCACGGCCACGACCCCCGACGACGTGAACGCCGACCCCCGTCTCCCCCTCTCCCCCTCCTTGCCCTTTGCTGGCCACCCCTGCTTGCGTTTCGCCCCCCCTCTCCTCCTCCTCCGCCTCCTCCTCCTCCTCCTCCTGCTCCTCCTCCTCCAACACAAATGGACAAACGGATCTTTGCGTTGTCGGTACATATCACATCTTGAAAACGTTTGGGCAACCACGGAATGCCCCAAACAAATTAGTCTGATCTATAAACCGTCGAGGATCTTCTAGCTGAGCGCCACTCAGGGACACCCCAGGATTCATACGATGGCCGCGCATATACAGCTACAACCTCTCTGGAACGAATTATAGACAATAGCTCCTTGAGTTACTCAGGCTGTATTAAACCTATCGCATCAGCATACATAGGAACAACACGATATGAAATGTTAGAATTATCACCAGACATCTTTGAGACTGATGCGTCCCAACATGGAGTGGCGTCAAGCAAACACGCTGTATATCGGACTGCCGAAGGCATTCTGCAAAATATCGGGTGCCAGATCTTCGTCGAGTTGCATCCCAACTCTTCGGCAGGACGGGTGCACAGTACGATCTTGCACGGATCCATCAAGTGTGGGTCAAATAAATCGTTTAGCACGAAACTCTGAGAAATCGGTTCGACGGACGGCCAAGGCTTCTCATTTCCGTAGCCGCCTCGTTGTGTTCGGCTCTTCGCTTGAGAATCTCCTGCTCGCATGCTGGCCAGAAATGCGCCTGGAGCATTGCTAAGCATTTCGAGGAACCATGCCTCAGATGCTTCAGCAGTCGAAAGTTGTTGAAAGACTCCTTGCCGCACGATTGGCACTGTAAGCCTTCCGCCACGCTCCCTGCCGCGTCCAGCGCGGAGTGGCGGCAGTGCGGTGGTGGTGCCATGCACCTATGGTCTTGAGCACCGCACCACAGCCGTGGCAAGGAAAAAGGCATGTGTGTTAGAATTGATCTAAACATGATGGGATTTCGAACGCTGCTTGCCGACATGTCGTGTGTAGCTCTTTGTGTCACTGGCTAAGTTGCTGTCTATTTAAATTGGCATTGACTGCTGCCCTTACTAGGGCCGTGCGGCAAGCTTTCCATGATGGCAAGTCGTTTCTGGCGAGTGCTACCCACCATTTAGCACCACCTACGGGCTGGAGCCTTCCTGGGACCTCAACGAGAGAGGCCATCCACTGGAAATCTTTAGTGAGAGCTTGGGCCCAAGAACATTCAGCTTGAACTAGAAGATCTAACATCCAAACTAATTCATGGGGGCCTGTCTTCAGCAGCTTGGCCAAGTAACGTAGCCTGCGGACACGAATGATATCGGAAGTGGTGAGTATTTGCAGAGAAGCGTACACGTCCACATCGCAAGCCATCTTCTGGTTGGCGTAATCCTACGCCTTCCTTGTCGCCGCTCGCACAACTGGCATGCATGGTCCTGCCAGCGGCTTTTCCGTCGTGACGTCGAGCGGCGACCACACATGTGCATTGTAAAAAAGGCGGCTGAAGCAACACGGCGTGGCGTACTGAGGCCTCACCTTGGTTTCAAGACCTTCAACCTTAAAAACATTGGCGGGCAAAGGTCCAACGGCTCCTGCTTGTGCCTGCGCTCTGTAGGCAACCTCTGGACGCATGGCTCCATCACTGCAGATCATAGCTCCGACATGTTTATATGTATCGTGTGACGAGGTGCGCATACAATTCGTGCTCAGGAACATGCAAGTACTCTCCTGACGCCTCGAGCTCTTTCCTAGTGTGGGTGGCCTTGGGTCCCGCAGGTATTATCATGATTCCTGCTTTTCCGTGTTCAAGGTTAAGTTTTAATTTCTTAATGGCTAGCCCTTCGTATATTATGCATATCGCCCTTTGCGCGGCATATTTCCATTGTCTGGCCTCTCGAGCTCTTGTGAACGATGTGAAGTCGTCTACGTACGACGATCGTTCTGCCAGAGCTACTGCTGGTCCAGGCGCAAAGAAAGGCCCCGTATCTTCGCCTATCTCTTGCGTCGTGATCACAAGATTTTCATCGTTCATCCTTTCTGTGACTGCAGCGTGCACAGGGGCGAAAGCTAATGAGAACATAATGTCAGTTGGCGGTGAGCTTGGCCTCGTGCCAGTCGTGGCATACGCAACGTTTTCGGCCCCCTGGACTTCAAACCACGTGTCATACTGGCTCTCGGCCAACTGCTTTTTGACGTGGGGAAGGGGAACGTCACTTTGGTTTCGTCCAAACATGTGTGAAAAGGGACCCTCTAAAAGCATCTGCGTGAAGGCCTGGCTGAGCGATGGCGGGAGGTCCATAGCATGGACTGCCGCTTCAAATTCCGCCACGATGCCAGGAATTGGGAGCAACAACTGTCAAAGCACAGCGTGGACTGCCGACTTGATATCAGAGAAAAATGCTTGTTATATTCACACGTCTACACAAATCTATGAATGTGTTCGTCATATGTGCAAACAAATCCGTACTTCTCTGGGGCAGTCCTCCGCATTGCAAGTCATGCAAGAGCCTAGCTGCGAGAGTGAAAAGCCTTGAGCGAAGAAGCTTGAAGTGGTGTTTAGCAATGCGGTTAGTTACGAGGATATCACGCAAATTGTTAAGATACCTACTGTCTAGACCTGGCTTAGGCAAAGCCACAGCCTGTCCTCCTTGCATGTCTAGTGGTTCGACACCACTCAACTGCATCTTAACAAAAAGTGGATGCCAATGCTCTACAGCCCGCTAAGCAACGCATTTGAACAACTCATATCCTAGCTTGTCTGGCCCAACTGCTTTTCCTGTCTTGGCTCTCTTGAAACTCCTTTCTAGACTGCTTCGAGACATGATGCACTGGAGATCCTGGACGAACGGCAGCAGCACTTCGGTGGCACGCTCATTGTAACGCTGCTGCAACTGCGCCTTGGCGTCGACTGAAGCAAGCCCTGTATGCGCGAAGATATCAAACTTGCATTCTGCGACATGTTTGTCATCTACTAAAACTTGGCCCTCCGGGTCTAGTTGCATTGGCAAGCTTGATTGGGAATACGTTCTTTTCGCTCCCCCATAACCTCAGAAGTTTCCTATCTTGACCCCATTCCTCCCTACCCATATGGTTGGGCATGTTTTGCTTGAGTTCTTCTCCAAAATCTTGCAGCAGCTTTAGCCGATCTTGGCGGATTCGACTGCGCACAATCGCATGAGTGGTTTTCAAAAAGTTGCCAGCTTGCTCGCTGCCTGTTGGAGCTGGACATCTCCACAATCAAAAGCTTCACCTAGGAGGGGGATGTGTCTCCATATCGGCTCAAAATCATGGAACGATTCATGTGAGGGACGACTCCGAACAACACTGAGGTAGGTGAGGAGAGGGCGGGCATTCTGGCCTCGATATGCCCTAAGCGCTCCACGGACCTGTCGGCGACGCTGGATAGCTGCCAAAGTGGGCGCAGAAATGTACGGACACAATGACTCCTTTGTTTCGGCTGGGAAGCATTGGGAAGCAGTTTCGTGCCAGACAGCCTGCAATTGATGGTAGTTTGCATTCACACCTACACTGTGGTGTATGTGTGGTATGTTAGCAATGAGTCTAGCGAACTTCTCGACCCTCTCAGGACCTTTCGTTTTATTTCGGCCGATCAGGAGCCTCGAAGATGGTGTGCCCAGGGTCCGCGAACGAAACAAATCACAGAACACAGGGTAATGATCTTCATATAGCCTCTCGTGGTCGAATTTATGGTCTACCCACTGCGTTACGCACTGTACATCGCTCAACTGACAAAGCACACAGTCCAGTCGGTGTCGCTCGACCCGTCTTTGATTGAAGGGACAAGGGTGGTGGGGGCACACAAGGAGGCATGGAGCAACAACTCATGGAATGTATCTGTTTCCGAATATTGTGGTTGCTTCCATCCTTGGTCCCCTAGTCGGTCCGACGTATCATGGCCAATTCGACCATTGGCATCTAACAACATAAACTCTATCTTAAACTTGTGTGTATATCGCAAGCTCGTCCCACCACTGATGCCTTCCCTCCGTTCCCACATGCTGGTGCGGAGCGTGGCCCACAGTAATGGTCGTCTGCCAGTGCGGGGCGTTGACCTGGCATATTGAAAGCCGGGGCTGAGAAGCAAGAGCTCGCACATGTTGTAGTTTAAGGTACTTAGCCTTACCATTGATCTTGGCATACGGCTGGTTAAGATTGAACCAAGCTACACACCCCAATTACCCCGGACAGTTCCAGAAGGTCAAACGGACAAAAAAAGAAAAAGGAAAAGAACCCAAAAAACAACAACAACAACAAACAAAAAAACAAAAAAAAAAAAAAAAAAAAAAAAAAAAAAAAATTGAATGTGTTGGCGTGCGAGCTTCCTGCACCCCGACACAGTTAGCTTCTAGCATGTGCATCTGAGCGCGGATCCATTGTCCGCTTCTCTTGTGGTTCGTTTCCTGATCTTTAGCCGTTCAAGCGTCATAGGACACAAACTTTGTCCGTATTGTCACGAACGAGGGGGGAGGAGTTTTTGGTTCTTTGAGTTGTTATTCTCAATGGGATTGGGGGGATCCAAAGGTGCATCTCCGAACAGGTGGGTACACATATCTGCCCCTCTGAGTCGCCACAAGGTTGCCCGAGTTGTCACGGTGATACATGTTGCGCACAGACTCGGGCGCTCTCTCCAGCCATGCCCATTCCAGCACGGCCTCGGCGTATAGCTGTGCACTGATCTCCTGCGGCGGAGTGCCTGAAAAATGCGCAGCGTCGCTAGCTACATACTCGGCAAGTCCATCCTCCCTCGGGGATCTCGGACTTGGCCGAAATGGTCACCACTCCCGTCTCGCCCAAGGCCCCTTGGCCTAGCGCCGCGCCGCCCGCGTCTGCGGCCCGCGATTCCATTTGCCCGCCCCATAGCCGTTCTGGCTGCTGATCGCGATCGTCCTCGGTCTACGCATGCCGCACGTCCGCTCGGCTGCCGCGCTACATCGTCGCCGTCTGCGTGCTCTTCACCTCCAGCATCTGCGGCCTCATGCTGGGGAGCGAAGTGCCATTCAACTTGAATGTCTAGTCCCGCGAGCTCAGGGTCCCAGAGCTCGGCCTGTCCCTGGTGGTCTTCCTGGTTATCCGCAGGCGGGCGTGTCCCCCCTCAGGACGCGGCGCTAGCGCAAGCGATCCTCAACCTCGCTAGCGCAAGCGATCCTCAATCTGGTCGACCGCATCGTTTCCCCGTCTGCAGCGGCTGCGACACTGGGGGCTTCTTGGCCAATCGGGCTCGGAGCCTGTGCGCACTCTCAGCTCCCTGCGGCGGCTGCATTCACCAACCAGCTCAACGCCCATGCCTCAGATGCCCAGCTCCCTGCTGACGGCCCAGCGCGGCATGCCGCTCCAGAGCAAGCTCAGACCGCAGGCGTGTCCTACATCCGCGATGCCCTGGATTTCATGTTCGCCGCTCGGCGCCGCAGTCTGCCTCCCGCTCGTGGCCGCGGGCTGCACGGTTCTGCTCGCGATGGTTTCGATGCATTGCATTTTGTTGGTGCCCCCGATCTTCACGCCGCCGCTGGTGGCGAAAATCGCGTTGTAGTCGGCAATGCCTGTTCTGCAAGTTCACGAACGTCACGCCGCCGCTGGTGGCGATCCCTTGCATAATTGCGCTGGCTTCCGTCCTGCTCTGCACGCAGCCGTGGCCGGTGGCGACCTTGAGCATAAGTTCTCGTTAGCGCCGCCGACAGTGCCCATGATGCCGCCGCCGCTGGTGGCGAGGATCATATTGCTCGTGATGACCGTCCGCATGCCCTTGCACCTCCCGCTGGTGCTGCCTCTGTCGCTGGTGGTGTTCAAGCTGCTCACGGTGATGTCGTCGCCGAGCGTCGCTGCGTCTTGATGCTAGCGAAGAAGCATAGGATCACTGACCATACAACGTTCTCGAAGGCCGCGAGGCTCTTGCAGCACAAGGCAGCTTGGACCCATGTTGCGGCTGCTCGGCGCCGTCTGTTTTTCGACACCTTCGTGGGCAAACTTGCATTGCCTGCTGGTGCTGCCGCCGAGCGTCGGAATTCTCACGCCGAGGGTGGCAACCTTCTGCATGAGCTTTTTGTTGCGTGATTCCGTTCAAGGGGCTGTTGATGGTCCTCCAGATGTTCCCGGCGCTGCCGCCGAAGGCGACCAGCCGCATAAATCTTTTTCGTGAAAAAAAAAAACATGCCGCCGAGAGTGGCGACCTTCTTCCTGAACCCGTTCTGCATGCTCTCGCTCTCGTGATGATGATGGTGTCCCTCTGGATGCTCCTGTCGTTGCCGCCGATGGTGGCGACCATATGGCTGAAGCTGCCCGAGTCCGAATGGATGCTCCTGCCGACGCCGCTGACGGTGGCGACCATCTGCATGAACCCGTTCGTGTTCCTCTGGATGCTCCTCACGCTGTCACTGACTGTGGCGACCATCCGCATGAGCCCGTTCGTGGGGAGCCCCATCCCGCTGAGGGTGGCGACCCTCTCTGCATGAACCCGCTCTGCGTGCTCTCGCTCGTGAGGATGCTGATGTCATCGGGGAGGATCCTGACGCTGCCGCCGATGGTGGCGGCCATCTGCATGAAGCCGCTCGCGTCCGTTTGGATGATCTTGCCGCCGCCGTTGACGGGGGCGACCATCTGCATGAACCCGGCCGTGTCCTTCTGGATGTTCTGTTCCAGACGTTGCCGCTGATTGTGGCGGTCATATACATGAACCCGTTCGTAAGGAGCCTCAGGCAGATATCTTCCCGCACTGCTTCGACGCGAGTGCGAAAGAAATGATGGGTCTAGCTGAGGCCGCCCGTGAATGTAGCCCCGCCGTCGCGACTAGCCGCGTGCCCCCCGACAGGCGCACTCCACCCCGCCCTTTCCCATCTAAGCGCCCTTCTCTCTGCTTGGCTGCCATTCTGTTCACCCCTTCTCCTCCGTTGCCACTTGTCCCCTCTTTTCCTGGTTCCCCTAACGAACACGATTTATCATCTAGCGCCGCACTCACTGCAGCGCGCGCCTTACATCCTGTTGTCTGGCCCTAGTGCTTCGTTGGTGACACACGGCGCCCTAAGGCGCTGGAACTCCTCCTCCTCCCCCTCCTCCTCCTCTTCCTTCACCTCCTCCTCCTCCTCCTTCACCTCATCCTCCTCCACCTTCTCCTCCTCCACTCCTTTTCCTTAAAGCTAGCTCCTCCCTGTCGCACCACGAGGCCAGTCGGAAGGGCGAGCTGGGCGTTTCGCTTGAGCTTTCTTCACCGCTTATGGCCCTGAAGTTTAAAAACGGGCAACAGCTTCACATTTTGAGGGCGGGTGGTTTTCGAAATGTCGTTCTCACTTCAGCGCCGCGCATATTAGTTCCTTTGAGTTCGCAAGGGCTTCATGGATTGAGGGCTGGTCAATTTCAAAATGTGGTTCTTACCTCTTAGCGCCACGCACAGTCGCTTGTTCTATACAAAATGTCAGAGATTCTTGGATTGACGACGGGTCGTTTGCAAAATGTGCCTCTCGCCTTAGCGCCGCGCGCACTCGTCTTCAACAGTTGCAAGAGTTTCGCGGATTGAAGGCGGGTGGTTTTCAAAATGTGCTTAGCGTTTTAGCGCCGCGCACAGTTTGTCACGCACCAGAGATTGTCGGATGGAGGGTGGATCGCTTTCAAAATGTTGTTTTCGATTTGGCGCCGATCACATTCGTTTTTTAATATGATCAAAGATTTGAGGTTCGCGGATTGAGGACGGGTTGTTTTCAAAATGTGGCATTCATCTTAGCGCCTCGCGCACTCGTCTGAAACAGGTGCAAGAGTTTTACGGATTGAAGGCGGGTTGTGTTCAAAATGTGGCTAGCGCTGTAGCGCCGCGCACACGCTTGAATGTCAGGGGTTCACGGATTGAGGGCGGGCCATTTGCAAAATGCGGTTATTGCATTAGCGCCGCGCAAATTCGTTTTAACCGAAAATCAAGAGTTTCACGGATTGAAGGCGGTTGGTTTTCAAAATGTGGTTTTCATGTCAGTGCCGCGCACATTCGTTTTGAACAGTTGTAAGAGTTCCACGGACTTCCATGGTCAACGTGCCATAAATTGCGTTTTGGACGGATTCAGGATTACGAGGGCGCAACAGTTGTGTTGATTCGCGGCGTTGAAGTCCCAGGGATGGGGGTCTGGCACGATATTGGATCGTCAGAACGTAACAGTCAGGTTGATTCGTGGCGTTGGAGTCCCGAGAATGTTTTTTGGCACGATTCACGGTCTTCAATCTGTTGTCCCCCAACGAGGCAGTTCCCTCAGAGGAAATCAACCTTTATAGGGGCCTCTGAGAAAAGTTTAGAGGCATGGTTTATTCCGACATGGTTGAGGACTCTTGGGTTCACACTGGTCCTCCGCATCTTCCTCCTCCTCCTCACCCTCATCCTTCTCCTCCTCTTCTTTCTCCCCCTCCTGTCACTTGGCCAAGTCTTCACGTGCTGGCATGCGCGAGGTCACGCAACGTTAGAAGCTAAGGTCACTGACGCGTCTCATGACCCCCACGGGGCGCTTGCGCTTGGTACGAGCTGTGGGGCGCTTGCGCTTTGTACGACCCCATCCGTGTCGAATCCAAAGTGACTCCCCCCGCGGTTCCTGTCCTAGAGAACCCTGCGAGGATGGGGCCGAGACCGGACCTCCACCGATGTCTGGCCGTGTTTGGGCTCTCCTGGGAGGAAGCTGTTTCCTTGGGTGTCTGGGTTGCGGATGGAGCCTGCGAGCGGGCCCCGAGGGGGCTGGGACGACCCCTTCCTCCCAGATGATGGGCCAGAGGGTTCATCTTCGAGCGGGCGGTCGCTCTGAACCCAATCTGTATACCGCATTCCACGCCCATTTGAATTAGGTCGCACTTTTCGCTGTCCTGTGCGCTCCTCTTCCTCCTCCTCCTCCTCCTCCTCCTCCTCCTCCTCCGCCTCCTCCTCCTTCTCCGGAGGCGGAGGCGTTCGCGGATGACCGCGGCACAAGTGCAGTTGACTCAGCGACGCCTTTGCAATCTGGTGTCGGTGATTCATGAAGTACGTACAGTCAACCCGCACAGTAAGGATGAGCGACTTCCCAAGAGTACCCCTGCATCCTTGTCTCTTCGGTCAACTTCGGCCCATCCTCAACCACTTTCGAAGGCCAGCCCCGCTCGAAGAGCCTCGGCATGGGCGTCCAAGGTCCTTGCATCCTTACCGCGCATCCTTACTGTACGGGTTGACTGTATGTAATGAGGCCAGGAGTGCCACGGAGCCAATCCAGGCGGTTGCCGGCGAGAGACTTGGGCCATGACCCCAACGGGCAGAGGTCCCCTAGAGCGACGGGATTGGGGACCCACCCGGGCGCCCCTGGGCCTTTTTTCGGCGTGCTGGAGGGGGGGAGGGAGGGAGGAGGGAGGGAGGAGGATGACGAGGACGAGGACGAGGCAGAGGAGGGAAGAAGGAAAGGAGGGAGGAGGGAGGAGGGATGGAGGAGACGGAGGGGGAGGGAGGGAAGAGGGAGAGAGGGAGGGACCTCGACCCCAACGCCTGGAGGTCCCCGCGAGGGGGGTGGGGACCCACTCGGGTGCCCCCGCGAGGTCCCCGCGAGGGGGGGGCAAAGAAGCGGGGGAGGGGCCTCCCCGCGCGCCGCCGACGGCGGCGGCGGCGGCCCCTGGCGCCAGGAGTGGGAGCTGCACCGCGCGCCTCCGCCCGCGGCGCTCCGAGAGGCCTGCGGCAGCGTGCGCTGCCTGCTCCCACCGCCGGCAGGCGCGCGCGCGCACGTGGGCGCGGCGTACAGTGGGGGCGTGTGCCAAGAAACCAGTTGGATTTTGCCAGGGTGCCCTGCGTTTCTTAGATTTCGATGGGCTTCCAATCTGATCTTGACGAGCCTCGATCGACACATGTGGACTTTCACTGAACAAATCGCGGATCTCAGGGTTGGGTTTCTTGCGGAGGTTTCTTGTGGCCGAGTCCCCACTGTAGGCTGGCGGTTCAAACATGGGGCCCTGATGGGGTGGGGCCCAAAGGACAAAGGGCAGGGACGGGAGCACAGGTTGCCCTACAGCCGGCCCTGATTAGCAGGTCGACCCTGCCAGATTGAGGGTATTCTTGTGTCCTGTGCCTCGCGACCCATGCCTCCAACATTCCTGGGGCAACGTGGCCCTCGGAAGGGTCTTGTGTCCTCTCGCGTGTTTTGTCCAATCAAGGCCGACTGTATCCTTCAGGGCCCAATCCTTGAACCGCCGCCGACGACGGGGAAGAGGGATGCCCGAGGCTGGGGGTGGGAGGAGTAGAGGGTTAAGTCGAGCCCTGTCCCTCTACAGGGGGAATATTCAAAAAAAAGTCCCAAAAAAATAGTCTGGGGACTATTTTTTTAGCATTTGTTGATCATGTTGGAGTATGTTTTGGGTATTTTTTATTTTTCGTCGAAGATCCCCCTGTAGGGGGGCACGCCCGACTTAAGTAGAGGGGGAGGGAGGGAGCGCGGGAGGCAGGACCCGATGGCCACCCATCCGAAAGCTGGACGCGTGCCCGGAGGCGGGTCGAAAGGGAGGGAGGGAGGGAGGCCCTCCTCACTTCCCTAATCTCCTCCTCCTCCTCCTCCTCGGCCTCCTCCTCCTCCTCCTCCTCCTTATCCTCCTCCTCCCCCTCCTCCTTTCCCTCCTCCTCCTCTCTCCTCTCTCCTCCTTCCTCTTTCTCTTCTCTCTCCTGTCTCCTGTCTCCTCCTCCTTCACCTCCTCCTTGTCCTCTTCCTCCTCCTTCTCCTCCTCCATTCCTTGTCCTTATATACATATATGTAACATCTCCGTGTCGCATCCCGAGGCCAGGTTTTACGGCGGCCCGGGCGTTTCGCTTGAGACCCCTTCACCATGTATGCCCTTGAAGCTTCAACAGTGGCAACAGTTTCACAGATGGAGGGCGGGTGGTTTTCAATATGTGGCTCTCGCCTTAGCGCCGCGCACATTCGTTTTAAACAGTTGCAAGAGTTTCACGGATTGAGGGGAACACGTTTCCAAATGTGGTTCTCGCTTTAGCGCCGCGCACATTCGTTTCAGAAGTTTGCCAGAGTTTTACGGATTGAGGGGTGTTCCTTTTCAAAATGTGGTTCCCGCCCTAGCGCCGCGCACATTCGTTATAACAAATTACACGGGTTTCACGGATTCCCGTGATTAAAGTACCAGAAACATCATCTGGGAAGGATTCAGGATTATGGGGTTGCAACAGTTACGTGTATTCGTGGTGTTGAAGTCCCAAAAACGGCGTTCTGGCACGGTTCAAGATCGTCAAAACGCAAGAGTCAGGTTGACCCGTGGCGATGGAATCCCGAGAACAATGTTTTGGCGTGTTTCAGGGTCTTCAAACGGTTGTCACGCAACGAGGCAGTTCCTTCAAAGGAAACGAACCGTTGTAGGGGCCTATGAAGAGGGAGCTTGGAGGGGGGTGGATTCCAACATCGTTGATGACGCTTGGGTTTACCCTGGTCATCCTCCTCCTCGTCTTCCTCCTCTCTTCTCTCTCCTTTCTCCTCTTTCCTCTCTCCTCTCTCTCCTCTCTCATCTCCCATCTCGCCTCTCTCCTCTCTCGCCTCTCTCCACTCCTCTCTCATCTTTCCTCTCTCCTCTCTTTCTCTCTCTCTCTCTCTCTCTCTCTCTCCCTCTCTCTCTCTCGCCTCTCTCCTCTCTCCTCTCGCCTCTCGCAACTCGCCTCTCGCATCCTCCTCTTCCTCCTCCTCCACCTCCTCCTCCGCCTCCTCCTCCTTCTCCTCCTCCTCCTCCTCCTCCGCCTCCTCCTCCTCCGTCGCCTCCTCCTCTTTCTTCTCCCCTCTCTCCTCTCTCCTCCTTCTCTCTCCTCTATATTCTCTCTCTCTCTTTCTCTCAGTCTCTCTCGCCTCGCTCCTCTCTCCTCTCTCTCTCTCTCTCTCTCTCTTGTTCTCTCTCTCTCTCTCTCTCTCTCTATCCTCCCTCCTCTCACCACTCTCCTATCTCCTCTCTCCCCTCTGCCTCCTCCTCCTCCTCATCTTCCTCCTCTTCTTGCTCCTCTTCCTCATCCTCCTCCTCCCCCTCCTCCTCCACATCATCATCATCAACATCATCAGCATCATCATCATCGTCATCATCATCATCACCATCATCAGCATGAGCATCATCCTCATCATCATCATCAGCAGCAACAGCAGCATCCTCCCCCTACTCCTTCGCCTCCTCCGCCTCCTTCGCCTCCTCCTCCTCCTCCTCCTCCTCCTCTTCCTCCCCCTCCTTCCCCCCTCCTCCCTCCCTCCATCCCTCCCCCTCCCCATCCTCCTCCTCCTTCTCCTCCTCCTCATCTTCCTCATCCTCCTTGTTTTCCTCCTTCCCCCCTCCCTCCCTCCCTCCCTCCCCCCCTCTCCGCCTTCCTCCTCCTACTCGTTCTCTTCCTCTTCCTCCTCTTCCTCCTCATCCTCCTCGTCATCACCAGCAACAGCATCATCAGCATCATCATAATACTCCTCCGCCTCTTCCTCCTCATCATCATCATCCTCATCGGCATCATCATCATCATCATCATCATCATCATCATCATCATCATCATCATCATCATCATCATCGTCATTCTCGTCCTCCTCCTCCTCATCATCATCACCATCATCATCATCATCACCATCAGCATCATCATCATCATCATCATCATCATCATCATCATCATCATCATCATCATCATCATCATCATCATCATCATCATCATCCTTATCGTCCTGCTCCTCATCCTCGTCCTCCTCCTCATCCTGCTCCTCCTCCTCCTCGTCCTCCTCCTTCTCCTCCTCCTCCTTCTACACAATTACTCAATATGAATAAAACTCGCCCTCCTCCCCTAATGACGTCTTGGGAATAGTCGCCCCCCCCCCCGCGTATTGTTTTTTTACACAGGTTTCCCCCGGAGTTGGGTTTTCGCCTGCATTTTTTCCAAAATGCTGCTCTCGCTGAGGCGCCGGCCTCATTTTCGGGCCCCGCTCGTTCCGCATCGTGCTCTCGCTGCAGCGCTGGCATCATTTCCGCCGGCGCCCGGGCTGCACGCCCGAGCCGGCGCCCGGGCCGGCGCCCGGGCCGGGTCCGGAGCCGGTTCCGGCTGGCGCCGGAAAATCGAGTTCCGAGGCGGCGCCGAAAAAAGGCCATTCTGATACACATTTTTCTTTTGAAAATGCTGAATTTCTTCTTCCGGCGCCCGGGAGGCTTCCCAGGCCGATTCCGACGCCCAGGCCAGCGCCCGAGCCGGCGCCCGGGCCAGACGCCCGAGCCGGCGCCTGGGCCGGCGCCCGGGCCGGGTCCGGAGCCGGTTCCGGCCAGCGCCAGAAAATCGAGTTCCTTGGCGGCGCCGAAAAAAGGCCATTCTAATACACATTTTTCTTTTGAAAATGCTGAATTTCTGCTTCTGGCGCCCGGGAAGCTTTCCCCGGAGTTAGGTTTTCGCCCGCAGTTTTCCCAACATGCTGCTCTCGCTGAGGCGCCGGCCCCATTTTCGGGCCCCGCTCGTTCCGAATCGTGCTCTCGTTGCAGCGCTGGCCTCATTTCCGTGCTTCCCGGGCCGATTCTGGCGTGCTTCCGCTCGTTCCGAATCGTGCTCCCGCTGCAGCGCTGGCCTCATTTCCGTGCTTCCGCTCGTTTCGACTCGTGCTCCCGTTGCAGCGCTGGCGTCATTTCCCGTGCCATGCCACGGCATGCAATGCAATGATAGGTTGATACTACGCTTCGCGGTGCTCTTCTACGCCATGCCATGCCGTGCTCTACAATGCATCGCGTACCCTTTCGGGATCATCGCCCTGCTTGACATCCGACTGTGCAAGTAGAGAGGTGATCTGCGCCATGGTAAGGGATGGGAGGGAGGGGTAGGATGTCAGATATGACGCGAGCGCACCTAGCTTGTCCTCCTCCCCCTCCCCCTCCCCCTCCTTCTCCTCCTCCTCCGCCTCCTCCTCCTCCGCCCTCCTCCTCCCTGTTCCCTGTTCCGAGGCGGCCGCAGTCTGTTCCGCGGGCAGCCCAGCAACTTCCTCCTCCTCCTCCTCCTCCTCCTCCTCCTCCTCCTCCTCCCTTTCCTCTTCCTCCGCCTCCTCCTCCTCCTCCTCCTCCTCCAGCTCCTCATTCTCAGCAGCAGCAGCAGCAGCCATATAATCATACTCATCATCATCACCATCGCATCAACATCACCATCGTCATCCTTATCCTCCTCATCATCATCATCATCATCATCATCAGCAGCAGCAGCATCATCAGCATCATAATCATCAGTACCAGCAGCAGCATCAGCATCAGCGTCAGCATCATCATCAACAACATCATCAGTAGCAGCATCATGATAGTCATCATCAGCTTCATCATCCGCAGCATCACCAACAACAGCAACATCCATAACAACAACGTCATCATCATCCTCATCGTGATCGTCAGCATCGTCATCTTCATCAGCATCGTCAACAGCAGCATCATCGTCAGCATCACTATCAGCATCATCATCAGCAGCAGCAGCATCAGCATCAGCATCAGCATCAGCATCCTTATCATCAGCATCAGCAGCAGCATCATCATCAGTATCATCCTCATCCTCATCCTCATCCTCATCACTGTCCTCCTCCTCGGGCTCGGGCTGGTGGCATCAGAGTCTTCCACTCGACGCAGCCATCCCCTCATCTTCCCCGTTCTCCTGCCCGTCCAGGCCTAGGTTGTTGCTGCCCCCCCCGCCTCCCAGGCGGGGGCGCTGGCGCGCCCGCCGAATGGGCTCTGCCAGCGGCGCATTCCGAGCGGCAGCACGCGGCCAAAGCCGTCAGGCGCACTTGGGAGGGGGAGCAGCAGGAGGAGGAGGAGGAGGAGGAGGAGGAGGAGGAGGAGGAGGAGGAGGAGGAGGAGGGGGAGAAGGAGGAGGAGAAAGCAGAGGAGGAGGAGGAGAAGGAGGAGGAGGAAGACGCTGGAGAGCATGGCGGGGACGTGGCGGCACAGCCCGCCGCTCCACGAACAGCGAGACCCCTGACCGTGAACAGGCACCGCACGCGGCGTCCCCCGTGGCTGGACAGCGTACTGCCTGCCGGCCGCCCGCCGGCCGGCCCGCCTGCCGGCCGGCGGCGGCAGGCCATGTTGGATCTCCAGCGCGCGGGGTGGCACGCGGAGTGTCCGACACCCATCAGCCAGCAGCGAGACGGCGGCCCAGGCCTCGGCGCGACGGCCGAGCGAGCCCACGCGCGGGGCCAAGCGCGAGGAGCACAGGGGATGTCCCACAGAGCACATGTTTGCATTCGCGCTGGAGACCTCGGGCCGCCTTGGCGCCGAGGCGCGGCAGTTGCTTCTCGCGCAGGTGCTCGAGCTCCCTGAAGACACGCAGCCCGGGGCACCGTCGCGCGCATACAAAGCGCAGCGGTGCGCGTTGCACCGCCAGGTGGCGCGCCAGCTCAGCCGCGCCGCTGAGCTGCGAGGAGGAGGAGCAGGAAGAGGAGGAGGAGCAGGAGGAGGAGGAGACGAGAGAAATGAGGAAGATAGAAATGAGGAAGAAGAGGACAAGGAGGAGGAGGAGGAGGAGGAAGAGGAGGAGGAGGAGGAGGAGGAGGAGGAGGAGAGAAATGAGGAAGACGAGGAGGAGGAGGAGGAGGAGGAGGCGGAGGAGGAGAGAAATGGAGGCGACGGATGAGAGGAGCGGGGGAGGCAGAGGAGAGCGAGAAGGAAGGGGAGAGAGAGGGAGACAGGAGGAGTCTAGGGGCAGGGAGGAGGGGGCGAAGCATTTCGCCTTTAACCATTTCGCCCTGACCGTTTCGCCGACGGGCCGCCCGTCTGGGTCTGCTCGCACGCCATTATGGGCCCGCCCGCCCGCTAGGGTCCGCCCGCCCGCCCGCCCGCGATCCGTTCCGCCGGCAAACTGGTCCGCCGACAAACATCAGCCACGCGCAGAAGGGGGGTATGGGGAGGGGAGAAGGCTTCTTAGAAGCACCCCTGGGCCTTGTCTGTAGACTTGAGGCTCGCGCCTTCTAAGAAGCAGCCTCCTTCCACTAAGCTTTCCCCCTCCCCCTACCCCCCCCCTTCTGCGCACCGCCAAACGCCGGCCCTCATCGAAACGGTCCGCCTCCGAACTGGTCCTCGACAAACTCGTTCGCTTGAGACAGCGAAACAGTTGGGGCGAACCAGTTCGGGCGACTTAATCCGTCGGCGAACCAGTCTGGCGCCAGTGGGGGCAGGTCAGGTCAGAGGAAAGAAGACAACTGGAAGTCAGGGGGGGCGGAGGGGAAGGCAAGAAGGGGGAAAAGGGAAGGAGGGAAGCATGGATAATAGCAGGAAGGGATAAGGCATGGGCAATACAAATCGATGCAGAATGAAAGCACCGAGCTGCCCAAACCTGCTTGGCCCCAGAGCAGGACGGGAGACTGCGATACTGTGGAGCGCGCACGTGTCAAGCGGTGGGATGGGGCGCCCACGTGTGTGAGCGCGCGTGCGTGAGCGCGTCGGGCTGGCCGTCCGGGGCCTCGGCTGCTCTTCGACGGGGGGGCGGACCGCTTCTCCTGGGACGCTGCCTCGCTTATGTGCATGACTCGTGCGGCTATTGAGTTTGCTTGTCAGGCACTGTCCCAGTCTGCCCCTCCCTGGGAATTGAATGAGCATCGGCCAGCGCTCCGTTACAGCTTGCTTATTCGTGCCACGAGGGCTCTGGACGCGCGCGTGATGCTCCCCATTCCTCCTCAGTCTCCACGCTCCTCATCTCCTTTCCGTTGCCAGCAAGTCTGGCCCCAGAAGGAACCCTGGCTCCAGCGCGCGGCGGCCTCGTGGCCGAGGGGATGGCAGCGGCCCCCTCGGCGCGATGCTCGGCCGCCGCGGCGATGGCCCGGGCCCCTTCCCGCTGGCCTGCGAGCCTCGGGTGGCATCGGCGCGCTGCGCGAGCCCCGCCTCGCGCTCCGCTGCTCGCGGCGGGCTGCGTGGCCGCAGCGGCCACCAGGCGGAGGCCGTCGGGGGCGACGCTGCCGCCCCGGCGTCCAGGGCGGCCCTGCGCGGGCCTGCCAGTGGACGACAGTGCTGGGCAGCGGCCTGCCGCGGCGGGGCCGCTGGGCCCAGGCCCCCTGGACCTGGAAAACCGGCAGTACAGCTACTGGGAGCGCCAGGTGCACGCGCTGCTCGTGCTTCTCACAGGGGCGCAGCACGTGGAGCTCGAAGCGTTGCAGGGAGCGGTCGCGTCCTTGGACCCCACAGTCTACGAGTCGTGGGGCTACTACGGCAGGTGGTCTGCAGGCATCGCGTCGACGTTGCTGAGGCTCGGCACAGTCACTGAGCCGGAGCTCCGCGCCGCGCTGGGAGGCGGCCCAGGCGGTGGGGACCGCGCGGCGTTGGAGCTGAAGCCCGGCGACCGGGTGCGAGTGCGCAAGGAGCGCCTCGCCTCTCGGTGGCCGCGGCCTCATGTGCTCGGGGCGCCCGGCAGTGTCCTCGGGGCCGAGGGGGTCGTGCAGGACCTTTGCGGGGTAGCAGTCGACCCCGTGGCCGCCGCGCTCTGGCGGGATAGAGGCGAGCAGCCGCTGTACAGAGTGCGCCTGCAGGCCCAGGAGGTGTGGGGGCGCTGGCCCGACCAGATGGCCTCCTCGGAGGCCACTGCCGAGGTGTTTGCAGACTGGCTCGAGCCGCTGGGCGCGGTCGAGCCCCCGGGGCGCAGCTGCGCAGCCTCGCCCGAGGGGGCCTCGGGCCTGGCAGCCCCGCGCAGGCCCAAGCTGCCCAAGCAGAGGCAGCTGAGACAGTGGGCCAAGACGCTCGCGCTGCACCTACACGACAGCTGGCCGGACGGAGGCTCGGGCCGGGCGAAAGGGGGGGATTGGGAAAGGGGGGGTTACGAAATTTGCTGCATGCAGCTGGTTTCGGCCTCACCGAGGGGCCCATTCCTCGATACATGGGCGCCTCCGGCGCCGGGAGGCGCCGGGAAAATCAGCTACGTGAGCTGATTCTCAAACCCCCCCTTTGCTATCCCCCCCTTTCGCCCGACCCGAGAGGCCTGGGTGGGGGACGAAGCCATAGCCACAACGATGGGCCCCACCAGCATCACAGCACGCGCACCGAGCTGGAGCGTGCTGCGGCTGAGGCCGAGGGCCCGGAGCACCCAGGCGGCCGCCTGGCGGAAGCCACGATCAGCGCGCTGGTGGCGAGAGGAGTCATCACGATGGCCAGCCTGCGCAAGGCCGTGGAGGTGGTGGACTCCGCCGGCGGACGCGCGGAGGGCCCTCGGCTCATGGCGCGCGCCTGGGTGGACCCAGCCTTCCGCAGCCGGCTCCTTGGCAACGCGCGCGAGGCGGCACAGGAGCTGGGCATCGAGGCGGTGAGTTCAACGAACGAAGAGATGCAGATGGTCGTGGTGGAGTCCACGGCGGAGGTGCACAATTTGGTGGTTTGCACTCTGTGCTCGTGCTACCCGGTTGGACTGCTGGGCTTGCCCCCCCCGTGGTACAAGTCGCGCGAGTACCGAGCGCGGGCGGCCGCGCAGCCCCGCTCGCTGCTGCGGGACTCGTTCGGACTTGAGGTGCCAGACGAGGCAGAAGTCTGCGTGCACGATTCTACACGGGATCTCCGGTACATTGTGTTGCCGCGTCGGCCTCTTGGCACCCAGGATTGGTCTGAGAAGCAGTTGCAACGGCTGATCACCCGAGATACGATGATCGGAGTGGCTGTCCCGCAAGCAGATGGGACGTGATGCTGTCGATCGCCAAAACAAGTATTGCTAATTCCGCCCCTCCGCGTTGTCGTCCTTGCCATGATATCCTTGCCTTCTGAGTCTCCGAGGTAAGAAACTATGGCACAGCCCGCATAAGCAAACATTACCGCAACGTCCCGTTCACATCCCACCCTTTTGGCGTCTTAGCAGATGGTTTCCTTCTGAACCTCTTGACTCACACGGCAGGAACGTGAGCATGCGTTTTTGGCTGAAGGGATGGGTTTCGACATCGATGCAAGTCGCCGCCCCCATATCACTTAGATATTGGAGCTCAAGGTGCCAGCCCGTCTCGAACTAATGGGCTATCCGCGGAGACCATTGTTCGACTATGCGTCGCCAGGTTCGTACAATTTTCCATGCATGAATTGTACGTTCGTTGCTGAAGAGCATTCGATGGATTGCAGTTTGATCCGCCTGAGGCAGCACCAACTTCGAGCAAACGCCAGTTTGTAAAAGCTTCCACTGACCGAATATGCACATGTACATGCTCTGCGGTGAGCCGTGGCAATTGGGCGTTACAAGGTGCGGGAGTCTACCTCGGTCGTTGCTTGCCGATGGCGTCATGAGAGATTATATACTGTGAGTATGTTTGGTGGTATTTGTTCGAGCGGCGTATTCCTGTCTGGTCTGAAATTGCGATTTCGCGCAATGTACCCGTTTGTCAATCCAGAGGAGTAGCAGCAGCACGTCAAGTACGACGATTATTCGACAGTCATGACATGTTGCACGTCATCAAGTCGTTGTTCATCCAATGATTGTTCGATGCGTGGGCGATTGAGTGCGGCGTGGTGGGCGATCGAGAAACCTCCCACTATTGTCTTGGCGCGGGCAACTTATAGTTCGATTGACTCTGTAATTGTCTTCACCCTTGACTGACGAAGGCACCCCCTCTTACATCGTCAGGGCGAACGTGTTTCGCATTGGGCCTGGGACGGACATCGCCAAGCGTGGCAACAGAACGTATGAATGGAATTATTTTGGATTTGATTTCAGGATGCGCGGATCGAATGCCAGTTCCGATGTGTGTTGGGGTGGATTTGATTTCCGTCAGACTTCCGTCAGATTTCAGATCGTCTCTCGCGGATATGATGTCAGCAGTTTTTGCACAGATTTGACGTTCACCCCGCTTTCATTCACAACATGGAACTATTGACGTTTCGGGTATCCCCACCAGCCCATCCAGCAACGATGTCCAGGCGAGTTCCACTGATCAAGGAAGAGTGGGAGCACGGAATGGAAAGAAAGACACGGGGGGCAGTTGTCAAAGCGAAGATTGGGATCAGTTTGACCAGGCCCAGGAGTCAACCAGAAATTTGTTCGTGGATTTTTCGACATGGGAGTTTCTTGGCAGCTTACTTAAGCCCTCTTGGGGCAAACTGTGTGGCCTTTGGGACTCTCTTGGGGCCCTGTTGGGACCCTCTTGGGACTCTATTGGGGCCCTCTTGGGGGCCTCTGGAGCCCTCGCCATCTTCGAGGTCATCGATCAAAGAATAAGGGGTTCTTAATTGTGCCCCTCCCCCCCCGCGAGAGGCCAAACAAATGCTCATCGGGGCCCTCTTGGAATGCTCTTGGGGCCGTCTTGGGCCCCTCTTGGGCCCCTCTTTGGGCCCTCTTGGAGCCGTCTGGGAGACATCTTCGGCCATATTGCGCCAGCTTGGGTTACCTGAGGCCATCTTGGAGCCATCTTGGGCCATCTTGGAAGCTCTAACCCCTCGCGACCGGGATCGTCCAGACCCAGGGGGAGGGGGGAGGGGGACGGGTAAACCTTTCCCCGAAACGGAAGACGTGGGGAGGAAGAAGCAGCTCGTTAAATCGCTCAGGCCCTACAGGATTGGTGGAATCAAAGCGGGGAGCTAGACGGACAGGTCCGAAGGATTGCAAAAAAAATGCAAAAAACAAAACGAAGGATTGCAAAAAAAAACCTTTGAACGAAGGATTGCAATCCTTCGTTTTTTTGCAATCCTTTTTTTTGCAATCGCTCGGTCCCAAAGCTCGCTTGCGCTAAGAATCTACGGGGGTTGTGGATGTGATACGGATTGTTGCGGTCCGCACCTCGAGAGGAAAGAAAGAGCGCTTTCTGGCGCCACTGGCAGGGGGGGGGAGGGAGTTCCAACCGCCCCCCCCAAACCTGGGGGGTGGGGGGGGTCTCGGGAACCGGCTGGACCGCCCCCCCACCCCCGAAAAACCAGGGGGGGGGTTCAACACCCCCCCCCCTCCCCTCCCCAGGCCCTCCCGGCGGGGTTCGAGCCCCCCCCCCTCCCCTAGCCGCCAGCAGCCGCCGCCGCCGCCGCCGCCGCCGCGACGACGACGACGACGACGACGACGACGACGACGACGACGACGACGACGACGACGACACATTCTTGCGCCAGGGGGGGGCGGGGGTTCGAACACCCCCCCCTTCCCAGGCCCTCGCGGGGGGGGGTCGAAACTCCCCCCCCTCTACTCGCCGCCGGCAAACGACGACGACGACGACGACGACGACGACGACGACGACGACGACGACGACGACGGCAAACGACGACGACGACGACGACGACGACGACGACGACGACGATGACGTCGTCGCAGATCTGCGCCAGCGCCAGTCCACCCGCGCTGGAGAAGAAGGACGAGGGAGAGGAACGGGGGAGGAGGAGGAACAGCAGCGTGAGGGGACGGTGGTTCAGGGGTGGGAACGGCAGTGGGCGAGAGAACGCGAAGAGGAGGGGGAGGAGAAGGAGAAAGAAAAGGAGAAGGAGGAGGAGAAGGAGGAAGAGAAGGCGGAGGAGGAGGAGGAGGAGCTGGAGAAGGAGGAGGAGGACGAGGACGAGGACGAGGAGAGAGGAGGCAGACTGTATACGCATCAGACTTTAGTGTCCCGCCCGCCCGGCACCACCCGCCCGATAGGGTCCGCCCGCCCGACCCGCCCGATAGGGTCCGCCCGTCCCGACCCGCCCGTTAGGGTGCTCATGTGTCATAGTGTATACGCATCAGACAGACTTTAGTGTCCCGCCCGCCCGACCCGACCCGCCCAATAGGGATCCGCCCGCCCGACCCACCCGATAGGGTCCGCCCGTCCCGACCCGTCCGTTAGGGTGCTCATGTGTCATGGTGTATACGCATCAGACTTTAGTCTCCCGTCCTCCCGACCCGACCTGCCCGACAGGGTCCGCCCCGACCCGTCCGATAGGGTCCGCCCGTCCAGGCCCGCCCGTCAGGGTTCTCATGTGTCATGCTGTATACGCATCAGACTTTAGTGTGCCGCCCCGCCCGACCCGACCCGCCCAATAGGGATCCGCCCGCCCGACCCGTCCGATAGGGTCCGCCCGTCGTCGTCGTCGTCGTCGTCGACGTCATCTTCGTCGTCGTCTTCGTCGTCGTCTTCGTCGTCGTCATTGTGTCGTCGTCGCCGGCGTCGTCGATGATATAGTTGTTGTCGTCGTCGTCGTCGGCGGCGGCGGCGGCGGCTGCCACCAGCGTGTAGTAGTAGGAAGGGGGGGGTCGAAACCTCCCGGGGGTGGCCCGTGGGGGGGGTTCGAACCCCCCCCACGGGCGCAAGAATACGTCGTCGTCGTCGTCGTCGTTCGTCGTCTCGCCGTCGTCGTCGTCGTGCCCGACGTCGTCGTCGTCGTCGTCGTCGTCGTCGTCGTAGTTGTTTGCCGGCGGCGAGTGAGGGGGGGGGGTGTTCGAACCCCCCCGAAGGGAGCCAGGGGGGGGGACGGGGGTCGAAACCTCCCGGGGGGAGCCGGGGACGGGGGGGGTGTCGGATCTCCGGGTTCTTTGGGGGGAGGGAAGGGGGCAGGGTTGTGCAGGGGAGAGGAGTTGGGGGAAGGGGGGTCCCCCCCGGTTTCCGACCCCCCCCTTAGCGATTTTTTTCTTGTGGGGGAGCCCCCCCGGTTCTTTGACCTCTCCTCAGGAACTCTTCCCAGCACGGCCGCGGTGGATCGCGCTCCCTCGGAGGAAAGATCCTCGTCCAGGGTAAGAAGTTCCCGAAAACGTACTTGCCTTCAGGCGTTCTTACTTGCTCTCGAAGGAGCTGGCCCTATGCGTCGCGATCGGCCGTTCAAGTTTAGTGTGCGTCGGTACCCGATGGATGTTGCCTTATGACGCCTTGTGGGTCGTTGTCGGACATTCGCGCTTGGGGCCCTAAGCGTTGGTGTCTCATGATTCGTACCAAAATGATGCCCGTTTACGTGGTCGGCAATTCGCTATTGGTGCCCTACGCGTTGGTGCCCAACGATTAGTGCCCCACGGTGCCCAATGCCATGCGATGGTGCCCTATAGTTGATGCCGTATGGCTTGCAAGGCACAGCGTGCACATCGGAAATGCAAGAACCTATTGCTTGGGGTCCAGGCACCGACAATTCGTGATTACTACATGATCTTGCTGCATTGAACACGGATGAACGATTTTGTGCTGGGGGCGCGCAAGAGGTCGCATGTGCATTTGCGTTTGAGCGCCCGTGAGCCGCCAACCGTCGCTAAACGATACAGTGGGCAGTCGTCGTCGACCTCCTCCCCCTCCCTCTTCACGCTGACTCATCCTCGGTACAAGTGGCAGTGACACTGAGGATGACAAGTGAGATCAGCGCTCATAACTCGCACCCCTGTCACGCTCATGCTGCTCTTCCTCCTTCCCTCTACTCCCTCTTCCCACACCCCATCCTCTCGTTCTCGCCCCTCACGTTCGTTCCACCCCAGCCAGGATCAGCGCAGAGCCGGTCTCAAGACCTTTCCTTGGCGCCATCCTGACCCGTTCTCAGAGCCGTGTCCTGCCGTTGCGATGAGGGGCCCCACCGAAGGCCTAGAGGATGAGGCGGAGGGAGCAGGAGCGGAAGGGAGGAGAGTGCATTCTCAAGGGCGCCCTCGATGGCGCGAAGTTATTCGCGCTTCGCGGTTTGCCTCCCCTGGGAGGCGGCGCGAGAGCGCGAAGTTATTCGCATTTCGCGCTTCGCGCGGCGCGAAGCGCGAAGTGGGAAGCCCTTGGAGAGTGCATTCTCTCCTCCATCCTCCTCCAACTGGGTTAATCTCCCAGCGGCAGCTGCCGTCGCGCTCGCAAGGTGCCTGCTGGTGGCGCAGCGCCTGCGGCACGGCCTCGTGGAGGCCACCCTGGAGCAGGAGAGTGACCCCGAGGCCTCTCGAGGGGAGGGAAGGAGAAAGACCTAGATCCAAGCGTCATGGAACATCGATCTAAAAACGGCCTGCGAGGAAAAGCGGTGCCAGGGATGGGGTCGGTAGCTCTTGGGGCCCGCGTCGAGAACAAACCACGACGCCAGAGGTCCGGGGAGGAAGAGGAGCAAGAGGACTTGGAAGCACAAACGGTTGCGTCGCTTGCCAGCCGTGGTGTCCGTTCCTTCCCTCTCCTCTCATTGCATGGGCTGCATCGTTTCCTCAGATCGGGTCGACGATCGGCGCTTTATTCATACCCCTACTGCTACCTCCAACTACACACGCCCAGGGAGCAGGGCATGGATAGATGATTTGGCTCCAGAGGCGGGACTCTCATCCATGCTCCCGCTCTGGACCTTCGTTGGGTTGGGGTATGAGCAGGACGGGGCAACGTCCCTGGGTGGGCGGGGGGCAGGGGGAGCAGGAGGAGAAGGAGGAGGAGGAGGAAAAGGAGGAGGACGACGACGACGAGCGGATGGCTGCATTCAGATGAATTCCAGAGCCACCAGTGTCACCGTCAGGAGGAGGAGGAGAAGGAGGAGGAGTGGGGGAGCGAGGACGAGGATGAGGACGAGAATGAGGAAGAGACGGACGGGGGATCGGCGCTGTTGCCCCGCCCGCCCGCTCGAGCGCAGGGCGCCGGCGGCCCCCGCGGCGCACTGCCCGCCGCCCCCGTTGCCGTGCCCACCGCCAGCGCAGCCGAGGCCTGCGCCCCGGGAGGCCCGCCGCTGCCGCGCCCACCGCCGGCGCCGCTGCGCCGCGGCACACCGCCGCGCGCCGCGTAGCCGCCGCCGCGGCGCCGCGGCCAGCCGCCGAGCGCCGCGTGCCCGCCGCCGCCTCGAAGAAGACGACGATGGAGACGACAACAACGTCGACGACGACGACGACGACGACGACGACGACGACGACGATGGAGACGACCACGACGACGACGACGACGACGACGACGACGACGACGACGAAGACGAAGACGAAGACGACATGAGACAACTATCAAGGCTTTTGCTGGCCTTATGCTGCTGGAGCCTCTTGGAAGCATCTTGGAAGCATCTTGGGGTCCCTCCTCCTCCTCCTCCTCCTCCTCCTCCTCCTCCTCCTCCTCCTCCTCCTCCTCCTCCTCCTCCTCCTCTTCCTCCTTATCCTTATACTCATCCCCATCCCCATCGCCATCCCCATCCTCCTCATCATTCTCACCCACATCCTCATCCTCCTCCTCCTCCACCTCCTCCTTCTCCTCCTCCTCGGTCTCGTCCTTGTCCTCCTCCTCCTCGTCCTCCTCCTCCTTTTCCTCCTCCTCCTCCTCCTCCTCCTCCTCCTCCTCCTCCTTGTCTCCCGCCGCAGCCGTTCTGGCTCTGGCCGCCAGGAGAGGCTCCAGATCGCGCCCCAGGGGCCCACGGTTCCGCGGCGGTCCCGCCGCTCCGATCGCAGTTGTTGGCGCCCTGCGTGCAGCTTGGCCGACGGTCGTGTGGGCGCCAATGTACGTGCCCCCTGCCCCTGCAATCTCTTCTACCTCCCTCCTCCTCCTCCTCCGATTCCTTCTCATCCCTCCCTCCTTCCTTTCTGCTCTCTTCCCCTCCTTCGTTATCAGCCCTCCTTCCTTCCCTCCCTCCCACCCTCTACCCTCCTCCATTTCCGTTCCCCTCCCTTCCTCCCTCCTGACGGCGAATGCGTCCGCACTCCATCCTTCCCTCCCTCCCTCCCTCCCTCCCTCCTAGCCGCCGCCCTTGCTCGAGGCTTTGAGCGTTGATATCAGGTATCCGCGAAGCTCGTTCGGGGCAGCTGCCATACGTGCTGGCCCGCGTCCGTGAGGCGTGCGGGCTCGGCCGTGATCTGCTTGCTGCTGCGGTTCGCGAAGCGGTAGCAAGGCCTGTTGCGTTCCGTTTGCTGCGCGGCCGCCGCCAGGCTTGCGCGGACGGGGGTTCCCACGTTTCGCGAAACGGAGCCGTCTTGGCGCAGGCAGGCCCGGACACAGCGCGCAGCCGCGAGGGTCCTGGTCCGAATGGCGGCGGCGCGACACGTGCCGTTGGCCCACCATAGCAACGGCGGCACCGGCAACGACATGCACTCGCGAAGTGCGCGGTTTCTTAGGGCGAAAAACAAGGGCCAAGCCTGGGCCGCAGGAGCTGCAGGCTGGTTCCCGCCACCGCGCGCCGTGCAGCCTCGCATGTCCAGCACGCGGCCATCCCAACGCGGAGGACATGCAGCTGTGCATACACTCACTGCATGCCGCTGCCGCAGGGGCGCCCTGGCCATGGGCAGCCGCCCTGGCATCAGCAGGCACAGATCGTTCGGCGGCCGCAGGCGGCCGGGCGGATGGCGGACGCTGCTGCAGCGCAGCCGCCGAGTCGGCCTGCGGAGCTGGGAGCTGGGCCTGAGCCCATGAAGGGCGATGTGCGTTCGCCGTCGCGGAGGAGGTCGAGAAGGCCGTCGAGGGCGAGGTCGTCATCTCACCGACGATCGAGGCGCCACGACGTACTTTTGATGATGAGGAGCGAAGCGGCAGCGGCGGCGATCCTTCGGCAGTAGAGGGAGGACTTGATGGTAAACCGCCCTTGGGAGTGAACCGCCATCGCGATGGCGAAGAGGCTGCGCTTGCCCTGGGTGCTGAAGATGTCCGAGGCCCAGACTTCCCTGTAGGAGCAAGAGTACGCTGTCCGGACGCGCATGATCCCAACGGCCAGGAAGCCACGAGAAAGGTTCGACAAGCAGAAGGGCTCGTCGACGAGGGCCACGAACCGTCGTGACAAGGGCGCCCAGGCTGCGAGTCAGGCGACGCTTGAGCCGGCGCAGCTTCAGAGCAAAGAGTGAACGAGATGTCCAAGGTCTAGTTGCTGCTAGGCCGCTGCAGGCGCTTGCGCCGCCGGCCGAGGACATCGAGAAGGAGCCGCCAACCGACGGTGAGAGCGCTGCTGGTGAAGCTGGCGAGCCTGCAGGAGGCATGGCAAGCCCCGGAGCTGGGTCTGTTGCGCCCGCGACGCCGCCCGCGCAGGTTGTTTCCGCGCCAGGCGGCGCCGTCACGGCCATCGCGGAGCTCCTGCGCAACCAAAATATAATGGCGATGCAGATGCAGTCTCTCGGCGGCGTGCTTTGCAGCATCCAGACCGCCATCTGCCGCCTCGCCGACGCGGCGCTGGCCGCCGCCCAGGCGGACCTGCCGCCGGCGGCGCAACAGGTCGGCGCCGCGGAACTGCCGTCGGCCGAGGCGAACGCGGCGCAGGCGCAGCTGGGGACCCAGGCGAACGCGACGCCACAAGGCCCAGTGCCACCGTAGTCCCCGACGGCGGAGGCGGCGCGCGACAGGCGCCAGGCGCGGGAGATGGCAGCGAAGGCGGCGGAGGATGCGGCCGCCGCGCAGGAGGCAGCGGCAGCGGTAGGGGCGCCGCCCGCGCCGCTAGGAGGCGTCAATGCAGGTGGAGGCGCCAGGCGGGCGGCCGAGCAGCAGCAGGCAAGGCCCCGTCGCGGATGGCCCGCTGCTGCTGAAGCAGCCGCGCGCGCCCGACAACCCGACGCCCCCCCCCCCCGGCCGCTCGGCCCCGCCCGCGCCCATCGCGCCGCGCGCGGGGAAGCGCCAGGGCAGGCCCAGACAGGGCCGCCGAGGCGCGGCAGGTCAAGCGAGCCGCCGCCAAGGCCGCGGCCCAGAGAGACGGCGGGCGTCAGCCGTGGCCAGCAGGGCGAGGCCAGCAGCCCAGGGCTCAGCGGCCGCGGCGGCGTCGCCACGCGATCAACCGCGCAGGCGGCCCGCGGCTGTTCCGCCAGGTTCTCGGGCAGCGGCGCGAGGGGTACCAGGCAGACGTCCGCCGTCGCCACGAGATCGAGAGGAACCGCGGGCCCCGCGCTCGCAGTTTGAGAGGCGAGCCCAGCCGCAACTGGCGCCCCCTGCCCCGAGGGGACGGGGGACATGCACGAGGAGGCTTCCGGCTGGACGCTCGCGACTCGGTCGAACCAAAGCCAGAAGCTGCCGGGCTCGGCGGGTTCGACGCTGCCCACCCCTTGCGACGACAGGGTCGCGAATTCGACGTCGCCCGACCCGATCTCTAACGGATGCCTGGGGGCGCCGAGGTGAGCCCGCTGCGAGAAACAGCATCGGGGAGCGGGCCGCCCCGCCCGTCTCTCACCCGGGCCGCGCAGGCGCATTTTGCAGCGGCGCGGCGCCGCCAGGCCCCATCCCCAACGTTGACGACATGTCGTTTCCTGAAGCTGCATGGCCAGAGAATGGCACCCTATCATTTCTCTTCAACCGCACGGCGCAGCAGCTAGAAATCCCCCCGCCCCCCTTACCCCCCCCCCCACACACACACACACACACACACACACACACACACACACACACGCACGCACACACACACACACACACACACACACACACACACACACACACACACACACACACGCACACACAAACACACACGCGCAACAGTTCGTCTTGCATCGCGGGCCTGGCCACCCTATTGCCACTTCTGAGATTGTCGGATGCGAAGCGTTTACCGACGGCTAAGATGGGTCGACGAGCACCGGCATTGGAGGGCCTCTGGGCGTTCGTCGTTTTTCGGGATATTTCGGGGCGAGCGTTTTCGTATCCAGGGGCATCTGGCGCCCCAAATTACCATCCTACTGGAAGAATTCGCAAGTGGTTCAGGACCAGCCGAGTTGTTTGCCGCCCCGCGCATTACGACGCGGCCATCGCAAGCCCCCGGCAGGTTCCGGGACTTGCCCGCGCGGGCCCGCACATTCGGCAGCATGGTTATCGAAGCGGTTGCCGGAGGAGTCAAATATCAGCGTTGTGGAGCGTTGCCGACAGTCTTGGATGCGTTGGCCAAGTTGCTCCAGAATGCCATCAGACTGGACCAGGCGCATGTTTCGGGACACATAGGTCACCCACTACATGACAACGGGGGTACTCTTGCTCGCCAACTGCCCGAGGGCCTTGCACCTCCTGCGCTGCGTGATGTTGCGCCGTTAAACTTCTTGCGCGCTCAATTGCACGTCGCACCGTGGCCGTGGAGATCGGACCTGTCCAACCGCGGCACCAGGGTGCATTCTCAAGCCTTCCCTGCCTGAATGCAACCACTCCGCCCTCCCCTGCCGACGCTAGCTGACGCGTTCTCGTCGCCCGCTGCAGGATGCAGACCGAATGATGGTGAGGATCTGTCTCGGACCGCCGATGGCACCAGACACAGCCGCGCGCGACTGGCAGCGGCCAGTGCCCTGACGTTGCGCCCCCGCAGGACAGAGGTGGACAGGGGCGGATCCCGCCTCAGGCGCAAATACAAGGACGCGGCAGGCATGCGCGCCCCAGGCCGACTGCTAGCTAGCACTGGCACACCAGTTCGCTCGCCCGCAGCATTTGATAGTTGGCACCTTGGAGACACGCCGAAAGCACAGCACATGGAGGACGGCGTCCGACGATCATGCGACGACGTCGACGGTCGAACCGCCCGGACAGTGAACGGCTACGTTTTGGATCCACGCGTGAATGCCGCATTCACGCGGACGCGCGATGACACAGCGTCGTGTTCGTGGGTGCGCACACTCGTTTCGACACACGTTAGCCGCAGTCTGGGCGCCAGGTTGGCGCGCCGACGCCCTCGTTGCACATGCCCCACATTCGCGCAAGACGGCGACAGAGGTAGAAGCACGATGGAAGCAATTGGAACAGGAGGTGCGGTCAAGACATAACCCCACACTCCTACGCCGCACGCGCGATGCGAACGCTACGCTGG